CTCGGACCGACTAAAACCACACGGTGTGCCACTCTGCGCCTGTAACAGGAGGGATCCGGGAACAGCTGTTGTTAAGACATCCGGACCCCTCCTAGCGCCAGCCCGCTCCTGGTGCGGGCTCCGTCTCAATGTAGATGTTCCTCTCTTTAGGCGACGTCCGGCACACGCGGACGCCGCCCCCTCGCGGCTGGCCAACTAATGCGGGTGGAGGGGAAACCCACCCCGTCCACCCGCGGCCACACTCAGGGCGGCATGAGGCTGTGGTAGGCGGGCCTCCGCCGCCCGGTTCGCCGGCGGCGGGTCGGGTCCGAGTGGAGGTCATCCTCCCGGGCCCTCTCCGCCGCCTCCTTCCGCGAGATTACTACCTCGCAGAAGGTTGCGACCGCGGTAAAACAACTGTCGCTACCGGCCATGGAGCGTACTACGGCCGGTAGCGAGAGATCCACTCCGATGACTGCAGTGAGGGCCCGGCGCTGCGCCGCCCATGCGGGGCAGACCGCCAGCGTGTGCTGGGCCGAGTCCTCACTGCAGTCGCAGTGGTGGCAGGCGGGACTCAGTTCCCTCCCAGCGACCGTGTGCAGGTACTTTCCGAAGCAACCGTGCCCGGAAAGCACCTGCGTCAGTCGGAAGGAAAGGGTCCCGTGCTGCCGCCCTGCCCACTCGGCGATGACCGGCTGGAGAGCCTCCACGGCGGCGAAGCCAGCGCGTGGAGTCTCCAGCCGGAACGACCCAACGAGCCATCGTGGCTCGGCGAGCGGCTTCGCGCCACTCGCGCACATCCTCGGGCGGGGGGCGAAATCCGCTCTCCGCCCGGAAGTCAGCCACTCGCCGATAAACTTCGGCGAGCACTTCCGCCTCCAAATCCCACGGGGGAGTTCCGGCCAATGCGCATGCCACATCCGTCGAAACGGTGCGGTAACCGCGTATGGCTCTGACCGCCATTACCCTCTGAGGGCGCCAGAGGCGTACCCTATTCTGGGCGGTCAGAGCCGCCGCCCACACCGGTGCACCGTACAGGTGCCATTGACCGGACAACCCCCGTGTACAGCCGTCTTGTCGCGACGCTGGGTCCACCCATATTGGGCAAGAGTCGCCCTAGGGCAGACGCAGCGCCGACCAGCTTTGGAGCAAGCTGTCGGAAGTGCTCGTCGAAGAGCCACCTCCCGTCGAGGATCAGGCCCAGATATTTCATCTGGGCCCGAACCGGTACGAGGACCGAGTTGACCACGATGGAGGCGCCAGGGGGTGGACCACGACGGGGCCCATGGAATAACAGGGCCTCCGTCTTATCTAGGGCCACCCGTAAGCCCAGCGCCTCAATGCGCCCGACCACCAGGGAGACTCCCCCTGTGGCCAGGCGCGCCGCCTCTTGGAAGTTTGCCCCCCGGGCTGTCACGAGGGTATCGTCTGCGTAACAGATTACACCCAGCCCGGGGGGGAAATCGGCGCGAAGGGCCCAGTCGTACCCTATGTTCCACAAGAGGGGTCCAAGAACAGACCCCTGTGGAACACCGCACGACATGGGCCGACACCTCAGATTACCTTCTCGGTCCTCGTACACGACGGTACGCTCCTCTAAATAGTCTGCCACCAGCCGCCTCAGGTACTTTGGCACCCCATGATAGTGGAGTGCTTCCCTGATGCAGCTGAATGGCAGACTATTGAATGCGTTGGCGATGTCCAATGACACCGCCAACAGCACGCCGCCACAGCTCACGGCCTCTTCGGTCACGGCCCTCAGGCGCAACACGGCGTCGACCGTCGAACGCCCCGCCCGAAAACCAAATTGGGCGTCCGACAGATCGGGGCCCACCTCGCAGAGGTGCCGGACGATGCGGGCAGAAAGAACCCTCTCAAACAATTTGCCCGCCTCGTCCAGCAGCACGATGGGCCTATAGGCCGCGACCGAATCGGCAGGCCGTCCCGGCTTCCTCAATAGGACCAGCTTCCCGCTTTTCCAGCACTCAGGGAAGCGTCCCGACGCCAAGCTAGCGTCGAACACCTCCCCGAGGCGGTCTGCCATGTGGTTGAGGGCCAGGGCCAGCACTCGGGCCGGTACCCCGTCTGGCCCAGGGGCGGTGTTCTTGGAACGGATCCGTAGAACAGCCGCCCCTACCTCCGATTCCCGGACGGGCGGAACATTGTCCTCCCCGTGCTCCCCGTCGTCTCCGGCCAGGGAGGCCATCGACGGAGGAGTGTGTTCCGCCCGTTGTGGGAAAAGGCCCTCAACCACTTCTCGCAGGAAGCTGGGCTGGAGAGTCTCCGTAAGGGGGGGGGCCCGACGCGCGGAGCTTTTGTCGCACCGCGCGGTAAGGGCGACCCCAGGGGTCACGATTAAGACCCTCCAGCATCTCCTGTCTTTTTTCCTCTTTGGCGCGGCTAATGGCCAGCTTCAGAGTTTTCCGCGCCCGTCGGTACTCCTCATGAAGCCGGTCCTCCTCACCGTCTCCACGGTGACGCCGCCGACTGCGCGTGTAGGACCTCCGGGCACGTGTACAGGCCGCACGGAGGTCCGCCAGCTCCTGGGACCACCAGTAGACCTCCTTCCTTGGAGGCCGACGACCTCGAACGCGGGGCATGGCCGCATCGCATACATGCGTAATCGCATCGCGAAAGCGGCCAGCCCCCACGTCGACCTCCTCGGTCGGAGCCTGAGGAGACAGCCACGAGTGAATTATGGCTGCCTCCTCTAGTAGGTCCCGGTTCAGCCTGGCAACAGCCCACCGCGGAAAGCGGGATAAACGCCGCGCCACGTGACCCCTACTGGAGTCCTGGGTCCGGGAGAGCTCAAATCGGATATACAGGTGATCCGAGAGCGTCTCAACCTCTTCCAGGACACACCAGTTCCTTACTCGTGCGGCGAGGGCAGGGGTAGCGAACGAAAGGTCCACTATCGACCCCCCCTGCTGTCGCACGCACGTGTTGGTGGAGCCTCTGTTTAGAAGACAGAGGCCCACCGAGGCCGCCCACTCCTCTACGGCCTCGCCCCTGGCGTCCGTCCTGGGGGAACCCCACGCAACGGACTTTGCGTTGAAGTCCCCCAGCACAAGGACGTGCCCAGACGCTAGTCGCCGTATCGAGGTCTCCAAGCTGGTCAGGAAAACCTCGAAGTCGTTCAAACTCCGGTTGGGGGAGAAATAGACACCATATATGGTGATCCCCCCCCACTCGACGGCAACATATCCAGTGCCCTTGTCTCTTAGCGACAAGGGCGGGGAATGAGCCGTCGTGGAACCGACGACTGCCACGGAGCCGTCCCAGTCACCCATCCAGTTTGGACGGGGGGGGGACAGAATAGGGCTCCGCGACTACGGCAACACCTATCGACCACTGTGCCATGGTTTGCAGGAAGAGATCCTGCGCCGCGGCACAGTGGTTCAGGTTCGTCTGGACCAGGAGGTTGGAGACTTGATCCATTACTGGATCGTCTCTACAACCTCCTCCATGGGCGACGACGTCGACGCACGAACTATATCGGAGGCAGCCTGGGTCGACTGGCTAACCCCCCGACGTCTGCCGAGAACTGCGGGGAGGCTTGCAGCCTCTCTGCCCCATCTGATGATTGGCGGGCTTATTGCCCGCCGCACACACTGGGCAGTGAGGGGCGGCAGAGCATTCTGCCGCCTTATGCCCCGGTTGACCGCAGCGGAAACACAGTCCGCCGCAGTCAAAACAGCTGTCGCACTTGACGCGCGTGTGTCCCGCGGCCAGGCATTTAAAACACCTCATCGGTCTCGCCGCCAGGACTGTGATCCTGGCGCTCACGAAACCGATGAGCAGCCTGCCGGCGTCGGCCAATACTTTGGCCGACGCTACGGGACAGCTGACCCACACGGCGCCAAGCCCTCCTGGACCGGGGCGGATGGTGCCGACCCTGACGTTGTCCGCGCTGCACCCCGTCTTCTCCCGGATTACAGCGCGGACATCTTCGGCCGTCACTGAGTCGTCCAGGCCCGAGATGCGCAGTTCCGCGCACTTGGTAGGCCTGGCGACCCTGACACCATCAGTGGCCGCAAATATTCCCCGCAGCCTCTCGGCGAAGGAGTCCGCCGTCTTTGCGCCTTCAGCCCCAGGGAACTCGAGGACTCGAGCTCCCGTCTGGGCGAGGCGCATCCTGACCCCCACCGTTCCAAAGTCGCTAGCGAGGCTATCCCGGGCCTTTTTAAACACGGCCGCGTAGGACAGCCCGCCCTCCGCCGCCTCCGGGGACACGGTCACCACTACAGCCGCGGTTTTGGGCGGCTGCAGCTTCCGCGGCCTCTTTGTGGAGGCCGTTGTCACCGGTGGCGAAGGCTGGGCCTGGGCTGCTTTTTTGGCAGCCTTTTTGGCCCGCCTTCGGGACTTCTTGGAGCCCCTCGCCTCCTGCCAACCCTCGTTGGAGGGGGCAGGTGCGGAGGGGCCCGGCAGGGGTGTCGGAGTGGGGAGCGGAGGGAATGCCACTCCGCTCCTCGGCGCCGTTTTAGGCCCCGTCTTGGCCGGCGCCTGGGGATGTGCCTTGGCCGGCGCCTTAGCCGGTGCCTTGGCCGGCGCCTGGGCCGGTGCCTTGGCCCCCCTCCTCGGCTTTTGGGGAGCCGATGGAGTCGGGGGCAGACGCCGCCGCCGCGTAGGAGACGCGGCCTCCCACTACGGGGAGCGCGGTCGGAGCGGCGGCCTTAGGCCGCTGTGTCGACGCGAGCGGGGGGCGCATACTCGGCGCAGGAGGCAATCTCGCCTCCAGGCCAGCCAGGCGTCCGTCCAGCATATTCCCAACTGCGATGAGGATTTCTCGCAGTTGGGAGTCAAATGCCCCTGAGTTGGTGGTAGGGGCAGGCTGGGACGCGGACGGGGCTTCCCGCTCGGGGAGGTTCGCCTGGAAGCGGGCGAACTGAGCGCTCAGCTCGTTCACCCGCTCCGTCAGCTTCTCGTTGGCCACCTGCAGGCGAGAGACGTCGCCCGCTAGGCCCTCCACGACCTCCGACAAAGCGGAGGAGGAGTCCTTAAGGGCCCTCACAAACGAGCCCTTAAGGTTCACGGATTTGGTGGCCACCTTGTTGATGACGGCCACCCGCCCGCTTTCGCCCTCCTCCTGCACGGACACGGGAGCCTGGGGGGGCATTTCCCCCCACCGGCTCCCGAACCTTGAGCAGGAGATCCGCGATCTCCTCCTCCGCTACGGCCTCGCCGTCCACTCGTACGCTCCTGTAGGACTCCGCGTTTGAGAACGCGGAGCCTGACGGGGTCGAGACCGAGGCCGAGGCCGGTTTACGCGCCCTCCCTCGGCGGCTGCTTGCCACCTTTGGTGGCATCATTTCGCCGGACGTATCGGTCCCCTCTTCCCTGGAGCGTCCGCGTTTCCTGCTGTCGCTTCGTTCCGCCTCCATGGCCTCCGCGCCATCCGACGAAGCGGCGGATCCGGAACGCAGCCGATCCGATGCTCTTCGGCTCCCAGAGACCAGAGTCAGACTGACCTCTGGGAGCCCCATCGAGATAGGCGTTCCTGACACCATCTCACCCTCAGTGGACGACCCATCCGCTCCACTGTTCTTCTTCTCCCTCCTTGCCTTCGTTGCCGAATCCGTTTGACTTGCCTTTTTCCGTTGAGTTTGGTTTTCCGATCGTTTGTCTATATTTTTAACATGTTCCATAATAATCCCACGAGTGGGGGAGAACTAAAGGTCCACCCGGGCAGAGATCCCCCATTACCCGGGCAAGCGTAAGTTTTTTAACCCAACCGAGGGGTCCGCAGGTACCTCGGCTTGGAGTGCGCTCGCGACTGAACTTCCCATCAGCCATGCATCCCCTGGCCACGCACCAGAACACGGGATTCGGGGAATTTTTTAGAGAGGTTATCTTCCTCGCGGTCCGGGCGGTTAAGCCAAGACCCTCGCCCCCGATCAGAGCCGCGAGACTTAACCACAGCGCTCTTCTCGGGATTGCGATATGCCGACGGTTGACAGGGAGACTACGTCCCCCTGCCTGCTCGGTGGTAGTGTGAGTACACGCCGAGCCCGTCCTCCTTTCTCCACCGCTGTCAGCGGAGAAACTGTGGCCCCTACAGGGCCCCGCCATCAGGTTTTTTACCGAGGTTTCCTCCTCCATGCTCCGAAGAGCGAAGAGCCAGCAGGGCAACCGGCAGACACGCCCACCCTGCTGGACCAGGCCTTGCCCGAGAGCCGATGAACGGCTGCCTCTTCTGCTAGAATATTGGCCGCTGGCGATAATCCTCTCCTCCAAGAAACAAACCCTATACCAACCCATCAGGCCAGCGTGGTATAGTAGGCCAAAACCTTCTTTCTAAGGAGAGGCCTATGTTCATCAGTGGATTATTGAAGGCTGTTGATGATATTTGATGATGACCAATTTTAATATTGTATTTATTGCCTAAGCATATTAATATGTTAATATCATCTAGGTAGATTATAATGATAATCAACCATCCGTCTATTTTTAAAATAAAATAAAAAATGAGCTCAGTATACAATGCCATCTTGCAAATACTTCATATCCTGTTAGGACGTACTCTTTGTAAATCCAGCGCGGAAACAAAAACAGTGCAACGCAACGCTGTAATTAATTTTCGATTCGCGCTGAACGCTCCATTCGTGTTTTTGTTTGTGAGCATTTTTTCGATTTTTTGTGCTGAACAAACGTGGACGTTCACCACCCTGTGTGGGGTGGTGGTAAGCAGAGGGTGTAGGAGGGGGTTGGCTAGTTAAATGGACTGACCGCGAGAAAGAGTAGAGTCTTTTCCTCCCTTTCACTCACCATTGGATGAACGGATTATGAAATATTTCACCGGAAAATAAAACTAAAAAATTATTACTGCGAGTGTTTGAGGATATTCTTCTGTGTAAGAAGTTATACTCGTAGCTTTGAATTTTCTGGCTGCTGGGTGCGTTTATTAATTTCAAAGCTGAAGAGTTAATAAAGATTTTATTTTAATGACTACTGTCTAGAAATTAATTTTATAGTACAGTAATGTGCGTACAATGATTCCGATGAATCTTGTCCTTTTAAATAAAGTTGTTTTACTCCAGAGATCATCTGATCGTCGAATTTCGGCAAATTTATGTTTCTTTTCTTTTTCTTTCTTTCTTCTTTTTAAGGGACAACTTCCGTATGAGGAATATATATCCTGTGTCTTGGGAGACTTTACAAACATACACGAAACAGACACAAAGAACGCCCAGACTAAGAACAACAATTTGTGGATCACACAAAGTGGTGTTCCATGTTAGGATCGAACCCACAACACTCAGCGCAATAGGAAGCAGGGTGGCGACCGCTTAAACCATTACGCCATCCGTGCAGTCGATTGCTGAATTTATACCTAAATATTGTATTACCATATATCATCGACTAGTATAACTGTAATCTTTGTTGAGTAAGTTTTTCAACTCCAACAAAAATTAACTAAAGAAAATAGATTTCTGAACTTTTTCTAAACACAACTATTATTCTTTAAATATTGCAAGGTACCACCCCCAATTAATGCGCCATGATAAGCAACAATAAAAAAATGGCTCTTCACCTTTTGTATACAAAAATAGATATTAATATAACAAAAGACTAAATCAATAAAGTCAATTAAATAAAATAAAAAAAATACTAAATAATTCTTAATGAACATCGTTAGTTTTCATGACAAATTATAAAAGCTTCATGTATAAGATTAAGCATCAAAGTCTGGAATGAACTGCTAAATAAAGATAAAACAGACTTAATGACTATAACAGGATCCTTTTTAGGGTTCTGTACTTCCGAATGAAAGAAACCCCTGTTGGATCACTAGTGCGTGTAAAATGGACACGACACAGACAGTCAAAGTACTATTTACTCCCAATCTTCAGTAAATTGGTAGTCAAACAAAGTTGTAAATATAACGTAGACGTATAATGTAAATAAATAAATATGTGATATAGCCCAGCCGAAATATAAACTTACACTCAAATTTAAATTTCTTTTAATTTTGAGATAGACAGTTTTAAAGTTATTAGAGCACATTCATTACCGATTTTCCCCTATTATGTCCGAAGCTACTGAGTTACTAATTTTGAATAAAGAATATAAGAAATAGTTATTTTCTTATGTTTCTGTTAATATTCATATATTAAGAGAATAAGAATATAGTATTCTTATTCTCTAAAAGAACAAAAAGAACATTGTATACCAATGTATACTTAAATTTCATGCATGTAAACTTATATTTGCAATTAATCGTACGGAACCCTCTTCATGTGAATTCAACTGACACTTTTTGTTTTGGGGAAAACTGACGAAATTAGTGTTACAATTTAAAAAAGTCCTTTCTAATTTGTATGTATTTATAATGTGAAAATTTTACGTGAATGATCTATTCACAGGTGCCATTCTACATGGTTAAACATTTTACATAGTACTTTAATGATTCTGCAAAAATGTGGTACCTGTCTACATTTGCACCAAATCAATATTAACTGTTCAAAGAGGAGGCTCACTCTTCAAACACACTAAAATAAATATTGGATTCACGTAATAAGTCGTGGGCGGTTATGAAAGTTGTGCCTCTTTATTATATTTGAAATACACTAGGCAATGTTGATTTGACGTGTTATAAAAGGTAATAGAAAACCGATCAATTTGATTTAATTGTCACTTTCTAGTAAGTAACCCCGGCAAAACCTGAGCTCCTTTTATTTAAAAACAACAAAACGCGTTCATATTCCTTTTTTTATCAGAGTTTCCAAGAAACACTGTTCTAAAATCCAATTAACCGTATAAAATTAGTTCTATACATGTTTAACTATTTGTAAATGCTACTTATTTATTACTTCTGTATATTTTACTAATATTATAAAGAGCTATTGCCTTTAATGTTCGATATTAAAAAAATATCATGAAAAGAAAATTGCCTGAGTCACATACACTACTTGCATCTAAATTTTTAATGACATAACAAATGTATAAAAAGACTTCTAAGTCGGAGCAGAACCGCGCGACGGGGATTTGAACCGCGTAAAAAGAGAGAAACCGAAAGTTAAAATAACCTTAAAGTAAAAAATATCAATATGTCGGCCCGTGCAAGAGCCAACCAGAAATTATAAATCAAGGTTATCGTCGGAAACAGAGGGTTGTGGAGCACGCATAGCTATCACAAAACCCGGTGCCGACCGAGGGAGCTGATTTTGGAATCGTTTTAAAGTTGCCAAGACACTCTTTTTAGTAAACAACGCTAACTCCGTTAGTTGCATATGTTATAGTGGCACCTATTCAGTGTCGTATAAAAATATTAATAACGAAAACGAAAACATTCAGTTCTCATTTAAATTTTCAACGTGAAAAGTGATTCGCTATCATTGAGGTTCTGCGTTAAAACCACGTCTGTGTACTCCATGTGCTATGTTGCACATGGAGTACACAGACGTGTACAACTTTTGTTTACTAAAAAGTGAATGCGAAATGAATGAGCGAATGAAATAAATATACTTTCAATATTAAGCTATCTTAATAACGGCTTATACTTACTTATGCTCCTATTATGATGGAGTAAGAGTCATAGTCTTAACGGCGGGGACAGCTAGTATTTCAATAGTTTTCTTCACAGAGTACGCAAAGCAAAGAGGATAGATAATATTTTAATAACACAATGTTACATTACAACATAATATGTACCTGTCACAGAATGTGCTACAATATTTAGGGAATATCAGATGCACCCTATCTCCGAGGTAATATCGAAAGAGCGCGGTACTGGAATCCAGCCCGGGACCGCGTTTCAGGAATGTCTCATATTGGAATCTGTCCCGGACTGCCGATGTTACAATGTTACGTTTTTCCTCGGAGCTCTTTGTCTAATGATATTAAAGTCTTGCTCAAATAACTCAGTTCAACTCCCTTATGAAGAATCGAAGGAATCTCATATTATTTAGTTTGTTGTTGATTTCGTTTGATGTATTGCAATGCTGCGTAGATACAAGTAATAGGCTTGTGTCCGCTAATAACAAATTGCTTGATTTATAGTTTCAAATTATAAATGAAGTGACATAGAGATAAGGAAAAACCAGTCTATTTCTCATAAAAGTTAAAGATTTTCCTTTTTTGTTAAATAAAGTCGAACAAAATAGGCATTAAGTCACGTGACAACGAACACCAATCAGAAAGTGTTCCGTCACGCTACGCAAAACATCACTGTTGTTGTTGACGTTTTCATATAACAGAGCAGGTTACTCCTTATCGTTTTTCGTTTTTAGCATATTTTCTCACCTTAATACAGTTTCAGTTGACACTGGACACAGATGTAAACAGTTTTGTTTCGCAGACTGTGACGTCATTCAAGACGCCATGACACTATTCAGCGTTTTGAAAGATTTTTTTTTTTAAATTCAAAATACGTAATGTAAATATTGCTTTTTCTTTAAAATGTAGGTTTTTTGGGATAAATACTTATATACTTATTTTTTTTTTTGACAGTTAGGCATAAATGTAATTGTAACCACAATAATCTTTATGCTTATAACAAAATAAAGTCTAAAAGGATTCAAAGGATATGAAGTGTGTCACAAAATTCAACGATAAGAAGGCACAAGAAGGTGGACCTGCTTATGACTACTCGAGGAAAAAATATATATCTCATTTTTTTTAAATTACAATAAAAAATTGTTAACTCTAGAAAGTGGACACCCTTATGATATTTTTAACTATCATGACCACAGTTTTTTAAGTAAGTTTTTTTAATGGGCAATCTAAATAGTATCCATCACAATTCTTAAATATCCCAGAAAGCCTGTAGTTTTTACACAAAAAAATAGAATTATTTAAAAACTGTATCATGAGATAGTTAACATTTTTTTACTGTAATTTAAAAAAAATAAGTTATATTTTTTTCCTCGAGTAGTCATATGCAGGTCCACCATCTGGTAATGGCTTATCGTAAAATTTTGGGACACCTGTATAAACGTAAGCAAATTCTGCTACACAGGTAGCATTGTATTGTGGTAAGTCGAGTATTCCATAGCTATCGATAGTAAGACAACTATAATTTGATGATGGAGTAACAATTTGATCGAGGTAATAAGAAACATATACATTTGTCGGGGACCTACAATTAAGTTTAGTACCAATGCCGTTCGGTTAAGATAAATCCTTTTTAAAAAGCAGTTGAACCGACTTCAAACAATACTAACAAAGAGCACTAAAAACCTAGCAGCAATCGCGGTTGATTTGCTGTTATTTTTTTAAGAGCTCCGTTGTCTTTCTCCGATCTCATCATCAGATCTATTTGATTTTATATAGATCTGATGGTTTCTTTAGAAATATATGCTTCAAAAAGGGGTTTCTTCAGAAAAGGTCCCATTTTTTTTTTTAAATGGACCTTTTCTGTGAGAAAATATTATTATTGAAATCGTTATTGAAATCATTAAAAAACTACCCTATCAGGGTTTGAATTTTTTAATACGCCTAGAGGTCTAATCTTTAAAGTTTAACTTTTGTTCAGTATAAGTTGAAATTTTATTGTATGGTTTTTGTACCATGACAGTTTAAAATATTGACTAGATCCTATAGACATAAATTTATGTTTAATTGTCCACATAAATTATATTATGTGGCCAATTAAACATAATTTTGAACTTTACACTACATATTGTTTAAAAGTTCTATCTTTCTGCAATTCTTCTACATTTAAACATTGATTATTTTAAATATGAAATGCTTCTATGCGGCCTATTTGTAGAAAGGGTACAAAGGATTTTCTCCATGTACTCGTATAATCGTAAACATATATAGAATTGCTCCATGGTGTACTATGGTAAACAACTACATAATACTCCTCCCAATGTGTATCTGTCGATTTCGTATTATAATAAGTTTCTTGGGAATAGGATCTTATATAATTGCTATACTATTATGTACCTACTGTGTAGTACAAGGCTATACGAAGGTTGTCTATAAATGATTGTTGGGTTTGGTAAGACCGTACATTACCTTGCCATTACTAATTATGAGTAGATATCGTAAGCCCTGTACCCTTTTTAGTGACGTAGGGAATCAAATATTATTATAAATAAAACTACATGTTCGCGATAAATATATTTATTTTACATTAAACAGATTTTCACATTTAGATACTTAGTAAGTATTTCGTTATTTACACAATACAATCATATTGTCAAAACATTTAATAAAAATTGACTAGAGTTCGTATGTATCTACAAAATGTATGTACAAATATAAGCTCCGAATTTAATATAGATAATACACATCAGTCTGACTAGATTACTATTTACACTTATTTTAACTAACGTCATGAAATCCACTACCTACTTATATCGTAACAGACAACATTTTGCAGAACAGCTACTTTTAAGAAACAATACCCACAAACTTACAAATATTGTCCCTGGAAGATTTTTTGGGAATAGATTGAAGGATCAATGTACAATATTCATTTCTTACTACTCGGCTATTCCTTACAAATAGTTATACGTGAAATGCTTGGGTCTAGATCCATCAATTAACGGAATGCATTTTTAGTATGTTGATATCTACTCAGGTGTATTTTTCTCTCGATACGGAATAGTCCTCCAGATTAGAATTTCCTCATTGATTGCGTAAAGCATATATGATATTAAAAAATCAAACCTAGTAGTGGATTTAATTGCCTAAAGTAGTTAATCTTCAAATCCTAAAGCCATGTTTCCATTGAAATCTATTTACTCATAATATATATGTTATTTGCAATTAAACAAAGCATGGATGTCATAAACTAATCTATAGTATTTACTTTCATTAATTTTAATTATTTAGCGCCTTGAAATTATTCAGATAAACAACGAAATATATGAGATTCTTTACGATTTTGGATCATAAGTTAATGATTTTGAAAAGAGGTAAACAATAATCGTATTATAATGAAATAAAAAAACAGTCACACAGAGTAATTAACTGTATTGCGATACATATTTTTTAGTAGCTTAAAGATTAAATAGAAATAAATATCATAAAATTATTTAGCTCACAAATATTCTAAGATTATAAAAGGAAACTACTTAAAATACATGGCTTTCATGACTAGTATTTTATCATTTAGACACTGAAAATTTACACACTGATATTGTAGGTATAAGTTGTATATTATTACTATTATATTATGTTAACGGAGATATTAGTCTTATATGTAGGTAAGTAAAATTATTCCAGTTATATTTACTACAGGTATTGATATAAATATTTAAGGCTTAGAATACAAATGCTAGGTAGTATAAAGTACTATAATTTTACAGGATCCGATAAGATCACTACGGGGTTTATCAAAAGAAACAAAATGGCTTTAGTAATTTTTTAAATATTATTTTATGCATATACAATATGGTAATTATTACTAAAAATGACAATAATCCAGTTATGAATCCAGCAAAATGTAATAAGTAGGCAAGGAAATTCACCCCAAGTCTGTCACCTACAATGATTGCAGCACACATCCTGATCTGATGTGATGAACACATCTGAATGGAAATGAAATACCTTCACAAAAGAAATATTCAGAAAATCATAATAATCAGTGATCATATAACGCAGCATTTATGCCACTTTAAACGTAAAAAGATTCTTTGCAGATCTAGTTCATAATGTATTTAGTTCACGTTCGTTACCGACTGCAGTTATAGGGAGCCGAACAGACATAAGAGAAACTCGTGGATGGAAAACCTAGTCTTCAATTACAATTTGATAATGTATTCAAACTTGGGGCGTGTAATTATAGAGTAGAGAAGCTTAATATAAGCTTTAGTATAAATTATCTTAGTTTTCGAAATATATTTGTAATGTTAATACAAGTATTGATATTAATGCTTGATTAGCAAATATGGTTCTAATTAGCATGTGTAATCCAACCTTAAATACAGAGAACGATAATATACCATTATGTACTTGCATTAAATAATCACAACATCAATACAATAAATCAGATTTGCCCTGCGCTCTAAGGCGAGGCCGGTGTTGTAATAAAAAAACATTAGAAAAGTTTGCGCAATAAATAAAAAAGTTTTATTCGAAACAGGAAAATATCGAGATTTATTGCTTCAAATATAAATTCAACAAATCATACAAATTGCTATGTATGAGTATCAACATATAAAATTAGTATAATAAGCAAATCGATTGCAAAGCATTCGTTGTGGAATTAGGCTAATTAATAATATCGATTATATCTCATTCAGGCAGTGGCTCGTAGTTTGGTACGTATTTTGAATATCGTTAATAAAGACCATAAAGTTTTTATAAAATTCTATGTATAAACAATATTTAAGACCTTGACAGGCGTGTGACGATGAAATTCAATGGATAACAAAACATTAAATGATATAAAAAGAGCAAAGTTCCGTTTAATCATATATTCTCTAAAGATCTCTCTCTAAAGATAGATGAAGCGTTGACCCAATGGTAATTTTTTGGTCGGTAGTTCTATATTAGCTGTGTCACGACACACTTTGATTTACTCAGGCATACCGCGAATAGTTGCGACAGTAAAACCCATTTTGTATGAGAGAAGATTTCAGGGCAATTAACGCGATGATTTGGATCATCAGTAAAACCCCTAATACTGCCGGTGGTCACAGGCTGACAGTATGACACGTGTTTCTCGTTTCATTTATCCAACACAGATTATGTTTAGCATGGAGCCTCTACGGTGAGCGTGAGGGGTATTCCACTTCTCTATCAATAAATTAACTTAGATGATAGATTATATGCGTTTAGTATTCAAAATAAAAGCCTTCATAATATTATAATAATAATAATCATAATATTTTTTATTGACATAGAAAACAAGTACAATGCTTACATACATACATATTATCACAACAGCATCAGTGAAAACTTAAGCAGTTGAGCTCTGGCACCCATTGTAAGATTTAACTTGAGTCATGGGTACCAGCAACGTACCAACGTAGTATTAGTGTCTTCGTGTAAAAGATACTTGTCTGAATATACTGAATAAGAAATACTCGTATCCTTTATCAATGGCAAAACGTTGCCACTCCTATTATGTAAATTTATGTTTGTGAATAGGAGTCTAAGAAGTGATTTTTTATTTTAAATTAAAATACAAATACCCACTGCATTTTCCAGTTAATACATTTTGCGGATTATAATCATGGTTGATTGCCTCGCGGCTTTTGTCTGTCGTTTCTTTGGTCTATTGGTGTCAATACCTTTCGGTAACTATCCACTTGTCGCTCGCAGACTTTAATAACATTTAGAATTTCGCCTAAGGCATGTTTCACTTGCACTCACTCATGGCCTCAGTATATGGTCACATATACTTATATGGAGTGACAATATGTTTTTTCCATGGCACATTACTTTTCTTACGTGGTTGTGAGTGTAGTAGACCTTTAAAACTGTGCTCATAGATACGGTACGGAAGATTATGATGTAGTTTACACCTATGCATTGCGTGATATCACTACTTTTTTATTTTATGTTTTAACAACTTCAAGACTTATCCTGAACTATTGAGGTTTATTTTAAAAGATATTAACCTTTAAATCTCAGCTAAAAACTTCTATATTACATGTAACTGCAATCGGCTGAAAATTATGAAATTCATAAAGCTACTTTATCTTCAACAGTTTTGTTCAATGAAAGTAGAGAGTGGGGAGTTATGTTAATAGTTAACTCTATAACTTGAAAACTTTTGCGTTTCACGATATAAAGTCGTTTATGCGGGAATTGTCAGCCTGAGACTACAGCCAGTGCAACTTGGTTCAAACTTCAAGTAACTCATATGTATGCATATAATGCCCATTAATCGAGTTAATTTCTGAACAAATAATACTCCTGTCGCAGTCTTTTTTGTGTAAACTATGAAATCGTTATTTGAAGCTAATTAGTAACTTGATAGAAAGCAAAACACTAATAACATGTATGAGACATTGTCAATACCATTTTTAAGTATCAAGTGACTTCATGCGTAAGATATGGTCTTTTGATCCAGGTGCGGGGGTATAAGTGTTGCAATGTATGCGTAGGCGCTAGCTGTGTTCGTGATGAGTTCGCGGCGACAGCGAGCCGGGACCGGACTCAGCGCTTGAGTCACCCGCATACACTTCTGACAAACCGCCTGCGCTGCCGCACCCACCTGCGCTACCTCCGCCGCTTGAGCCTGCTATCATAATAAATATTTGATTTGGCAACCATTTTCCAAAGTAGCAGTCTTTTTTCACAACTATTTTTGGAAGTAGACAATTTAAAGACTAGACAAAGAGGCACTATTAGTGATAGGCGCCATACACCGATAACGCAATGTTGGATATCTGTAACACAGTAAAACATAACGCCGTAGAAGGTCAATTTATTCTGTGAGACTATGGTGTCACTCCAGTCGAGCCATCACATTTGTGACGAATAATGACTCTCCCACGGCGGAAATTTTAAGTTTACACAAAAATATGTTATAATTTAATCAGGTACCTGTACACTACTTAATAATTATGATATAATGGGCATACCATGATGTGGTAGGGGCACGCAGTACGAAGTAGCGGCGCAGTGCCGCGGGCGTACCTTCTCGTAGCGGCTCAGCTGCTGCAGTTCGCACTCCGAGTGGTGTTTCTCCACTGTTATACATACCAGACTATTCAACAAACAATCGCCACGTGTCAATCATCTACTAAATTTTCTACTTACTACAAACTGCCCATGAGATGAACTATGTCCATGAGACATTAGAATCCTGTGTAACTAATCAAAATTAGGAATCTTAGGATCAAGGGGAATTCTAGAAACAAAAATAAAATGCTGTTGTTACAAACGCATGCTCAGGCTCACTTATTGTTGTGGATAACATAGGTTATGCTTGAACTAGGGTCTACATTCTACAAATGTATAGTAACCAAGATAAAAGCTTTTTTAATTATGGGACAAGTTTTATTTGACTTATTTTTAAATGATGTTAAAGGCAAAATTTTATTTTTTTCAAGATTTAAGAATGTAGTTTATAGTAGTTTTTTAAACACAACGCCCGCATTAGGAGTATATCCAGTGTCGCCAGGGACTTTACAAACATTCATGAAACGGACACAAAGAAGACTGAGAACAACAATTTGTGGATCACACAAAGTGTCGTTCCATGTGGGAATCGAATCCACAACACTCAACGTAGTAGTAAACGACGTGGCGACCGCTTAAACCACTATGCCATTCGTGCAGTCAATGTCAGTTTGTATTACATAAATTAATTGTACAGTGTTATCTTTTGAGTAGAAATGTATGGTTCTAAATGAATTGAATTATCCACAGTAATTTGATAAAATTTTAATAATAAATATTCATATTACTACAAACTTCCCATCTATATAATTATATAAAAATGTTAAGTTGGTTTGTTCTGCACCGATAGAGCTTAAATTTTGATACGATATACAAACCCGCTTCAAAGATTGTTTTTATGTTTTTTTTTTTCAAAATTTTCATCAAAACAACCACAATGTGCTACCGCGAAGCGTGGCAGGGTACAGATTATTACATTATATTTAATGAATTAGATAGTTTATTGCAAAGGTGGTGTGTTATCTTTTTGGCCAAATATAATATAAAAAAATGTATGTCAAGAAACTGACGCAATGTGCAGCTGTTGTTACTAACTTTGTAAGCCGCCATGTATTTATCAAACATTACAATACCGCGAATATCGCTTTAAAGTCTTAATTGTATTTTTATTTTATAGTATTAAATATCGTATCCAAGTAGAATAGAAATTATTATCAGAAGTAAAGTAAGTAAGTAAAGTAGTTTCTTTAAGTATTAACTAAGTGTGTATTATATGTACTTCTGTGTATATCCTTTGTTGGAGATCCAATAAATAAATAAATAAATAAATAAGTGTAAACAAGTTTTAACAGAACATTTAAAAAAGTAAGTACCGAGTTTTAAAATATAACTATTTGAAATAAATTATAAACAATGTTATATCCTCAACAATTGCTAGTCATGATTTATGTAGTTGTAAAATATGGTTTTACAGATAGATTAAAAGATACACAGATACCTATTTTTTTAACATTTACATGGACATAATGTTTAAGAACATTAATAAATGCAGATATTTTGCGTTAAAGGAGGTACTATTTATATTACTAAGTACTAATATACGAATATCAAAAAAAGGGTAATACTGTCTATAAAGTTCCTCGTCACTCACCTTCAGCTCTTTCCCGATGCCTCTGCGGGTGCTTTCGGCAGGGTCGATGCGGAAGTGCGTCATTGTCACGATGGCCGAATGTGCGGAACTGTAGTGTGTGGTCTAATGTTGCAGCAGCCGTCTCGCCTCCGACAGCGAACGTTGCGTACGGACTTATTTCGTACACATCTATTTTATAACAGATTTTTTTGTGTGATTTTATCATCATCATCAATTATCTTTAACAGTCCACTGCTGGACATAGGCCTAGGCATATTTGTATGATTAGAAATATAACAAGTGTACTGACTGCAAATCATTAGTAAAATAATAATTATTATATTATAGCGTGTTGGACCTGTGGGCTGCAAAATATTGCTCTTATTCAGGCCTGTTTAGTACAAGCAAATTCTTTTTTAAATCGTCTTGTAATGAATGAATTTTAATAACTTCCTTCTTTTTAATTAATTTTCATTAGTTTATTATACACCTTCGCACATAAATGTAGAAACAGGGATAGTACTTTGTGTGCTTCTTTCAAATTACAATATTATGTAGTCATTTTAGCGACATACTAACCACATGTTTCTTATGTCGATTATTTTTTCAACGAAATAACAATATTAAGGTTACTTTCTACATAAACACGAATACAATACTAAATGGTTTTGAAGCAGAGAAATGTACCTTTATCTGCGATAAATATTTTTCAAGGTTGTTTGCTATCTTTTTGTGTACTTTATAACAAATTAAATAAATATTACTCAAAATTCTTAAAAATAATTATTAGCATAAAATCGCAATGGGTAAAAATTTTCATTCATAGCGATAGAAAAAACATTAAGATCCATTCCTAACGCTTAATCACGTTGAGCTGTTTTTATTTTTCACCCTTATGAAACATTTTAACTGCGATTATATTTAATTTGTTTCTTTTTATCAAAAAAACTAAAAGGGGCTAAAAACATTTTTTTTGTCTTTGAGTAACTTGATTTAGGAAACAAAATTAAAACTTATAAGTTGCACTTTACTCATTAAGATACCGCACGCCACAGAGTTAATCCCGAGAGCTGTTCCCAAATAACTTACCAGAAGCCGGTGACAGTTTGTCGTGTTTGTAATCGTGTTGACAGTTCCTGATGTTCTGTTGTTCCGGACACACCGACTTATCGGTGCTGGCTACTGAGTGGCTGCAGCGACGCACCTCTTCATCTGACTGACCACCGCAAGGCGCAAGCGTACTAAAAACAATAGTAATCTTTAGTGTTTTATCATGTATTACGAGTAATTTTCATTGAATTAAGCTATTTCATTTTCTTCTCCGCTTCTTATGTAATATTTTCTAAAATTATACTAACTGTCGAACCTCATAGTAACATAATTGCTATAAGCTTTTTTAAGGAATGACCAATTCAATACAAAAATAAGTACAAATGTGACTGATAGTCGCAGAGATTTTACATTTGCTGTTTTTGAGTTTATAGATAAGCTAATGAAACAAAAATATTCGTCTGCTTATGTTATTATTAAATTTTACCTATGTTAAATTTTTACCTCAACGCCTTTCAATTACCTGCCTAAAGACCTTGGATTGCCAAGAGCTTCAGTAAGCTCTTTTCTTGAATCGTTCGGCTCGTAGGTATCAAATATGGTTAGGTAGAGGGGGTAACACAGCAGACATTGGAGGTGAGGCGCTGACGCGTTGCAAGGAGTACTCTCTAAACCTGGGTTGCAATTCCCAGGCGTTGTCGAAGTCACATGTCATTGTGCTGCCCCATCTATCATGCTATGAACCCGGCGGTGAATCCATGGAACGCTAAGAAATAGGTCTTTTGTTTTTTTAGGGTTTGCATACACAGATTTGATGCTTCAAGTCGTTACACATGATTAATGATTATTATTGTTATTAAATGAAAGGATACTGTTTCTAAAAGTTTGAGTATCTTGAGATGGTTGATATATATGAACGAGACCTACGGACAGTAGAATAGCCAGATGTTTTTCAAGGCCACGTGGGTAGAGGGGATTCAGTTAGGGACTGACCATCTTTTGAATAAATGTTTTCAGGATAGTGTAATATATATAGAAGAGACACAAATAGGTATTTATACTTGTCTTAAGTGCCTGATATGTATATACGTAGCTTATATGTGCATATCATGTATAATGTGACTCTTAGAATCGCGTTATCTCAGGAATAGTAACTCTTAGGAAAAAATTCATAAAGGCCATTTTTGTAGGGAATTTTAAGATCTACAACTTTGGTTTAAGGTTTTTTTTGATAAAACTTACCATTTTCAAGAAAAATCCAAAAAGCCTCAAATTTTGACCTATCACCCCGAATAACTTTTGTAGCACACATAGGATCGATGGGGATTTTTATAAATTTATTTGTAATGGTAAACCCCAGCTCTCCACCAATATTTGGCTCTCCGGGAATTTTTGTTATTCCAAATGTCTATATTGACCGGACTAAAACTAATAAAAATACTAGGAAAAATAGCTTTTGATATCATGTAGTAAGGTTTTTAAGATGTGCCGCTGTTGTTAATAACTTTGTAAGCTGCCATGCATTTCTTAAACTTAACCACAAATATCGGTTTAAAGTCTTAATTGTATTTCTATTTTGCTATTATATAGTATTAGATATCGTATCCAAGTAAAATAGAAATTATAATCAGAAGTGTAAATAACAAACAGTTTCCTATTACCCACAGAGGGTAGAATATGGCGCAATCAAACAATCGAAGTGGAAATATAAGTAGGGCGCGGTGAGTGATTTATACAAAATTCGTGTTCTCGATTCTTGACGTCTATATTCATTTTATTTATTATTGCGTATTTAAATAGATCTCCTTCGAAGCGAGATCGGGGGATTGGCAACCGCCCGCAATTGTAATACTGTAAATAGGTATTCCGTAATATATACGAGAAGCCTTATCTGTGTTACGTTACGTTTTACTTTCAGTAAGTATTTTTTATTTTTTTTCTTTAGTCCAAAAATACAGTAATTATAATAGGCAAGTAATAATCATTGATATATGTACATATTTCCATGTACAAATAACTATTATATAGAAATATACACCTTATATTTGTTTAGTCTAACTAAACTAACCATCAATTTTAGATTTCTTTTTTATGTACATAACCCATCGAAAACACAGATGATCATGTTCACAAACAAACGCAGCCTAGGAAATCTTAGACTTCCCAAGCTATTTGGAACACAAATTACTGTTACCAAAGAGGTCAAATACCTAGGAGTAATACTGGACAGTAAACTCCTGTGGATTAAGCACCTCGATGAAAAACTGAATAAAGCCTGCATTATTTTCTGCCAATGCAAGCGGCTACTCGGCAAAAGCTGGGGACTATCACCCAAAATTACTTTATGGCTATACAGAACAGTCATAAGACCAATAATTACCTACGGTGCTGTTGTCTGGTGGCAGAGAACAGAGCTAACCACCGTCATAAACAAACTGCAGCAATTCCAGCGACTCCCATACTCCGCGGTCAGTGGCTGTATGCGCGCTGGGTCAGGCAACGGACCTGTGAAGCACACAACCGGAGGTGGAAAAACTCACCCGGCTGCAGACAGTCCAAACTGGTGCTGAATCAAGTCACACCACGACTCACCTGCAGATTGATCAGTCTTAGCAGACTGGAAATCAGAATGGTTTTCGGAACTATTACAGGACATCTAGCCCTGAACCGACAACTATTCATCATCAATGCGACGGACAGCCCCCTGTGCAGGGGATGTCTGGAAGCAGAAGAAACGGCCGTCCACGTAATCCTGGAATGCGAGGGAGTGGCCACACAACGGGCAAGTATCATTCCCGATATAAAGTCGCTCCTAGTAGCCTGTGAACGCCCCAGGAGGCTTCTGCGCTTCTGGAAGGAGCTTGGCTGGCTCACCTAGTCAACCAATCCTCGACGCATAAAGGACCACTCTGAGTCTAAATGCGGAAACCGAAGCCCACTACCAATACCAATAGATTGCCATACGATTTGCATTAGTGATAAACACTAAAATAATTATGTTATAGTATGTTAGTAAGGATTCTAAAGAGACGGTTACTTCCCGAGCGAAAAAAAGTGTATTAAGATAGTGCATTCATATGTATTAAAATGTTTATAATACCTAAGTTTAGGATTATATTAAGTGATCAATTTAACTTAAAGCCAGTTCTTAACTTATACCAATGACCTCATCAATTCCAGGACAGACATAAGAATACGTAACCTCGGTTCTTCATGCTACTGCAATATTAATCCCAGTAGTATTAATATTTAGAATTTATCTTTGTAAAAAATGGTTTGTTGCAAACATGGATTCTAGTTAAAAGAACTGTTACGGATCTAGATATATTAGAATTCCTAGAGATACAGATATATAGTTCATTTTTGTATGAAATGCGATAAAGCTAGTTCTGCAAAATTTTATAAAATAATTAAATCCGAAGAAGTGTGAAATTTTTCAAATTGGCGTTAATTAACAAAATAAATTATAAATGAAAATTTTGGAAACCACAAATTTACAACATTCTTTTCCATAGTTTAATGCAAATTAATATATTTTAGAGAATCCAAAGACCATTCACGATAAGCCTTATAAAAACTGGGAATGAAAGTTCTAGTATATCGCACTAGCTCTAAGGTATATTAGTATAACAGCGATATAGTATTTTATACCCATAATATTGTCTAAGAGCAAAGGTTTCTTAGAAATTAGCGATAAATTATACACCTCTCATGACCTTTACGAGCTCAGTTGAATAACGATATCGTAACTTCGTGAGCTCTAAGATGCTAGCCGCATTTATTTACTTAATTTAGGTACAGAAAATAGAACTTAGTACGGTCAGGTTATAATGTATAAATTGAAAGCTATGTCTTCAACCAGCTCCTTGGCTATATATACTCAGTATGAATATATCGGACTATATTTTTTCATATCTAAATAAGTAAAAAGAGTAAACGAAAAGTGAACAAAATAGGAAGATATGCTAACAATATTACATAATTACAAAACAAATCAAATACTTAAATATATACGAAACGTCATCAACAGACTTTAATAGTCCACTGCTGGACATAGGCCTCTCTTTTGAAATGATGGTTTTGGCCTACGAGTACTATACCACGCTGGCCAAATGGGTTGGTTTGTTTTTTAGGTTTGTTTTAGTTTGACTTCTCGTTGCTGTGCTGTTGTCCTGCAGATTTTGCTTGCTTAGTCGGCTCTTACTACATCCACGGGATTAATAGGGGTGATGACACTCCGTATTCTTAATCTGTCACCACTAGGACAATATACATGTCTAACAATGTTTTTAAATTTCAGTATTCGCTATTGAAAATGTCTGATGTGTTGTGGTGTTTCCATAATAAATCATTGTACGTTTGACACTTACCAACCACTGTAAGAAATATAATGAATTTAAGAGTATGATTATATAGGAAGTTACTGGCTGTAGTATAAAAACCATTTATTATAGACCGCCACAGAAAAAGACACAGGTACCTTTTACTCAGAAAAAAGGACTATTCTCTAGGGACCCTTGAATTAACAAAGTTTCGTTCACATAATTTAATGTAAATACATTAACGTGAAACGAACAAAGCCTATATTTTTTAATAAATAAGAGTAACAGCCACATGAGATTTTGTTTCAGTCCAGAAAGCTGCGTCCAATATTAACATTGATAGTACGTGGAACAACAACGGATTTTTATGTTGAAACATGGGGCTAAACAAATAGACTATTAAAAAAAATAATAATTGGATTTAAAGAAATGACACGACATACTTTGTATGGAGCTATGGTTCAACGATGGGGTCAAAATATATATATGGTCTGGTTATATTAGGTCTCTTGTTCTATTAAGACTATAACAAACCAATAACATTGACGAGATAAAAATGTGACAGCGCGTCTACAAACAGCTAAATTAAACTGAAAGTACCTATTACATATATAGCTTAATAAAATCCTAGAAAGTCCCAACACCAGCGTCTAATTCACCCTGAGACAGAACAGTAATATTCGATTTAATTAGGCTTTCGGTCATTCAGATAAATAGAAATAAATCCACCCAAGAGAAGGACGAATTAGATTGTTGGCATTGGTGATAGCCGTGCCTTTTACGGTTTACCTATCGGATTACCTATCGGAACCCTAGTGAGGTATCTGCCGCTGGAAATCAGACAACTCGGGTGCATTTAGTAAAAAGCTGCTTTTATAATATTATTAACAAACGCTCTGAAGATCTTTTCTCCAGATATATTCTGTAAGTTCTACTTGATACATACCTTCGCTTAGCGACAAGGACGAGAAGGAGTGCGGTAACAGCAAGTGCTGCAAGCGCTGCAAAAGCCAAAGATACTGCGCCCAGCACTCGTTCAGTGTCTGCATTCCCACTCGTTGTAGTTATTGGACTGCCTTCTGATTGAAAAGCCACTGGACGACGAAGACGCTCTGTACAACAAGAACAAGCAATTTAGAGTAAGTGAATATATAAAACTAAGAAATAATGAAATATATTTTTTAAAGACAGCTTCCGCAGTAGAAAGATATCCTGTGCCGCGGAGGACTTTATAACAAAGGGATATAAAGAGCACCCAGACTCAGAACAACATTTTGAGCATCACAAAAAAGTGTTTCCTCATGTGTGGATCAAACCGACAACACCAAGCGCAGTAGGAAACGGCAAGATGACCTCCTAAGCCACTACGCCTACCCGTGCAGTCGATAATCATCTATATCGATATACTTATGTGTTATAACTATATCGATATAGATGATCGATATAATGTTAAAATTTAAAATATTGTAGCGTAATAGTTATGTCATCGAATGACAGAATATAAATTTGAATTTAAATGAATGCAATACAAATTGCGGCTATGTATTTAACTGTGGTGAATTAAATCAAATCAATTTTCTATCGTGCAGTTCAGATAACATGAATGCGAGGAATATATCTGTTATACCGCAAAACTAATCTGTTTGTATCACTTACGAGTATCACTGTATAAACATTTCGTAAAACTAGAAATTAAAAAAAAAAACGTGCTTTTGTTACTCTTGAATAGCATTTTATCTATGGTCTGATTTTTTAAATCTGAGCTTCACTTAAAATAAATGACATGTACCTCCAGAATGCGTCGTAGTAGCAGCGTAAATAACAGCTTGATGTCGGGCTGACTCCGTGGCTGTCCACAAGCGTAGAGCATACCAAGCACCCGCGGTAAGACCACCGATCACCACCTATGAACAAAATAGTTAAGTTGTGATTTACTTGAAGATAGCTGTATAACAAGATCACTTTTTACAAACTTCATAATATAAAATATTACATTAGCGTATTCTAAATTTGAAAAAATATTTTGAAAACACGCATTTTTTTGTAAAAAGTACAGCAAATAATATGCTAGCTGATATGATGCTGTAAATACGAACGGGAATTTGTATTAAAATTTTTTAGGCTTACCTTAACGATCTAGTTGACATTAAAAACATTTGAATGCATTAAATAAAATGTCATAGGCTACCTTTCATCAAAAACAAAAACTATGTGGAGAACAAACTTCATAGTTACTCGTACTTTGCCTAAACACGCAAAATCCTAACATTTAAGATAACATATTGATTTTATAAACTGTTAATATTCTGACTTGTACTTTGACTTGACTGACTTGGACTTGTACTTCATCAACTAATTTGCCAAACATGAGACTCGATCGTAAAGAAACATTGTATCAATTGTAGCGTTGTTCTAATAATCCAACCAGAGGCTAATAATAAGTACGTATTATCCATTCTTCAATATCCGTAGTAGTCGGTGTATATTAATCCGTCACTGTCAGTTACAGAGACGTTCAAATAAATGTACGGTGGTAATCTATTGCTTTGCTATAAACGTGGGAGTCGCCAGCTCACCGCTTTGCAGCTTCATCTATCAATGTTTTTATTTAAGCGCACATTCATGCACCTAATATCGCTGTAAAAGTCTAAAATACATAAGATCACTACCAAAATGTAACTGTTAACTGTTTGTGGCTTATGGCCATTAGCTGTTACTCGTGAATTTGTACCCTAAAAATAATTACTGCCACAAAACAGTTTGATAAAAATATGGAATTTTATTGCTATGCCTGAATTGACAGCCAACTGGTAGAGCATCTAAAGTTGACTGTTTTGCCAAATGTTCTATTATTACATATACATTATACATACTTACATACTTATTAATATTTAATTGTTACAAAATTAAACAATAAAAAGAAAACGCAACGACGAAATAAGGAGGTATCTGCAGTACCTAGAGTCTGCAGGCTAAAAATCACCTTCTATAGATGAGAAGGTGATTTTTAGCCTGTTGTTAACGCCGTATACGCCGATAGTTTGTCTATGATATTCTTATCATTCGTATCGCATCACTATGCATTGTAACTACCTCACAACTTTGCTTTTTCTTTCCGACATCCGACGAGCGAGCATTGCGATACACAAAATTGTAAAAACCCAGTTTATCTTGGACATTAAAGCCCTGTACAAATCTTGGGAGCATTTTTCTTTACTACGTTGAAGCCCCAACATCTGGCGACCGAGGACAAAACCAGCAATTTTCGAAGAACAAATATCAAAAATTTCCTTGGAGGGGTACCAGCCATTGCAGCCAACGCCGGTCAACGATCAGCATCCAGCATCATACCGCAGCATCGGCCAATGCAGCTAAGTGTCCTTTCCTTGCGAAATCCTTTTATCCAAACAAGTGAAAAAATTCTACCCACTTTTACTTTTCTCAATAGTTGTTACTTGTGCTTTAGTGTCCTTATTATACAACATTTCATTACAAAACTATCATTATATAGTAAGTTACAACTACAGAAACAATTACTAGAATCAATATCAAATTACAATTAATTTAAATCGAAAATATTTTAGTCGTAGAATCATACCCACATTTTACATTCGATACCCGGTAATAACTTTTACGTGTTTTAAATTAAAATTAAATCATATTGGGCTGTATTTATTTTAAAAATTGGTTTTAGTACAGGTAGTACAGGCTCAGTCATTGTAAATTATTTCACAAATATAATATTCCTCGCCGAACATTCCAGAATTATTACGCCGGTACCTACACCACGCGACGAGCAGCGGCTTGCGCGGGCGCTGTGCCGTTTGGAATTTTGCTGAGCACAGGGCCGTACTCAGGTGACGTCGGGCGAGGAGCGTGAGCTAAAATTTATTTATTGGAATTAGTTATTGGATTATTTTGTGAAACCTTATTTGAATTTAAACCTACATTCCAAATAAGTCTATTAAAAGATTTAATAACGTTGCAATGTCTAAGGTTGATGGAAGTGAAACTTCTACAAAAAATTCTCAAGACTTACAGGACCTTATAGTTAAACGTAGTTCTATCAAAGGTCAAATCACAAAATTTAATAACTTTTTAACAAGTATTACTTCCAAAGAGACTTTATCTCAGATTGATGTTGATCAGTTAACATTAAAATTAAAAAGATTTCAAACTATTTATAGCCGATATGACGACGTGCAGAATCAAATAGATACTTTGAATCCAAATAATTTATCCAATGAGATTGATGAACGTGACATTATTGAGCAGTTATTTATATCTAACATTGCGTTTGCTCAAACTATTTTACACAATAATGGCTCGAATCAGCGCGACCTTAATTCGACCCTGTTGTCAACAGTTCAGTGCAACAATGGAGTTGAAAGTTCAGGTTTTAAATTACCACGTATTGAAATTGCGAAGTTTGATGGCTCTTACTTTCGTTGGCTTGAATTTCGTGACACTTTCTTATCTATAGTACACAATAATGACCGTATCGCTCTGATTCATAAATTCCATTACCTGATTTCGTACCTGGCGGGCGATGCAGCGCGCGTTATAGCTAATTTGGAAGTGTCAAGCGTCAACTATGAGACCGCGTGGAAATTGTTATGCGGTCGATATGACAACAAAAGACAATTAATAAGTCATCATTTAAATTCATTGTTGAACATACAACAAATTACTCACGAGTCTGAAAAATCATTAAGATTTTTTGTTGATCATATCACTAAGAACTTACGCGCCTTGTCAAGTCTTGGTCAACCTACTCAAGAGTGGGATGTTTTAATTATTCATATAATGAGTTCTAAGCTTGACAGTTGCACTTTAACGAAGTGGGAAGAGTGCCGTGGCACGCTAGATGATATTCCCAACTTACAACAATTTTTTAAGTTTCTTATAAATCGTGCTGATGTTCTCGAGTCAATAAATCGTAGTCAATCACATACTAAAACAAAGGTACAGGTAATGTCAAAGCCTATTATTTCTAACACTAAATATAACCAGTCATACGTTTCTAAGTCTGAGGAAAATTCTACTCCTACAATGTCTTGCGTAGTTTGTAAAGGTAGTCATCGCATATACAATTGTCCCAAATTTACGGCCAAAAGTGTAGAGGATCGTATTAATGAAGTAAACCGATTAAAGTTGTGTCATAACTGTTTAAGGTTTGGCCACAACATACGGAACTGTAGCATGGGGCCATGTCGCACATGTAATAGGAAACACAATAGCCTTATACATAGCAAGTTGTTAGTAGTAATACCACGTCCGGCGACAATGATGATGGTACGTTAGTTAATTTTTCGAAGGAAACTACTAACCAAGTTCTATTATCTACTGCGTATATTGAAGTCTCTAATCCAAAAACAAACCAAAGGGAGAAAGTTCGCGCCCTCTTAGATTGTGGTAGCCAGACTTCATTTATAACCCAAGCTCTTAAAACAAAACTAGGTTTGGAAACTACCTCTAGTTTTCATGTAAACATAATAGGTATCGGCAACAAGGTAACCGGCCAGGCAACAGAAACTTGTGTAATGCAATTGAGATCTTTATTGAAGCATTTCAACGTTACATCTACCTTTCTAGTGCTACCAGCCTTAACCGGCAACATACCTAAAATACCTATCGATCTAAAACAAGTCAATATTCCAACTGATGTATTTTTAGCAGACCCTAGCTTTCACCAGCCAGCGCCCATTGATGTTCTAATCGGCGCCGATCTTTTTTGGGACCTTCTTGGCCGCGAGCAATTATCTCTCGGTCCTAATTTACCTATATTAAGAAGTTCTCAATTAGGTTGGTTGATATCCGGTCCTATTAATATTAATTTCCCTTCTAACAAAAATTCAATTCATACGAATATACACTGCAATCAATCAATAGTTTTGTATTCATCATCCAATGAAAGACTTAATAAAGAACTTACTAAGTTTTGGGACATAGAAAATGTTCCTCAAACGAAACCTCTCATGAGCCCAAGCGAGAAGGCATGTGAATCATATTTTTTATCTCATACTTTCCGCCTAGACTCTGGTAGATTCTCTGTAGCTTTACCCTTGCGCGATACACCTGACTGTCTTGGTGAGTCTTATTCACTCGCTAAAAGACGATTAATAAATTTAGAAAATAGGTTCCGTAAACAACCTCAAGTTAAAACTCAATATATAAATTTCATGCGTGAGTACGCAGATTTGGGTCATCTTTCGGAATCCACGGTATCCAGGTTTGATTCTTCATACTTTCTTTGCCACCACGCGGTATTCAAGGATAGTAGTGAGTCCACGAAGATTAGAGTTGTATTCGACGGCTCAGCTCCAACTTCGTCAGGCAAATCTATCAATGATATTCTTTTGGTTGGGCCTAACATTCAGGATTCGCTTTTTTCCATCCTACTACGAACACGCCAGCATAAGTACCTTCTCGCGGGTGACATCGACAAGTTTTACCGTCAGGTCTTAGTCCGTGAGGAGGACCGCAGACTTCAACTCGTGTTGTGGAGAGAAGATGAGTCTTTGCCCATTAAGACATATCAGCTAAATAGTGTGACTTACGGAATGGCAAGTTCCAGCTATTTGAGTACGCGTTGTCTTTGGCAGATTGGTGAGGAAGCCACTGATCCTATGATAAAAACTATTATACAGCATGATTTTCTAGTTGATGATCTGGTAACCGGTTCTGATAGTGAGTCTTCTTTGCGCTATATCCACCAAGCAGTTACGAATGCACTAAAGGAAGGATGCTTTAACCTGCGTAAGTTCAAGACAAATATACCGTCTTTCTTTAATCCGTCAGATCATGAAGCTGATAATCTTATGATAAGCGAGTCTACTAATACCCTAGGAATGGGGTGGGACCCATCTACAGATCAATTACATTTTCCTATTAAAATTCCATTTTCTACTAATGTTAATAAGCTAACTAAAAGATCTATGCTATCTTCTATATTTAAAATTTTTGATCCCTTGGGGTTGATTAGCCCATGCATAATAAAAATGAAAATCCTATTACAACAATTGTGGCTTCAAAATTTAACTTGGGATTCTCCTATCCCTGATGATATTCAAAGAGAATGGGAGAGATTTACTTTGACTTCAGCATCTCTTCTATTGCTTAAAGCTCCACGAAGAGCTATTTGCGATGAACCCATTTCTATCGAACTTCATTCATTTAGTGACGCATCGCAACATGCATACGGTGCCTGCATTTATTTGCGATCTTTTAATGCGGCGAATATGGTGACCGTTAGGTTGCTTTGTTCTAAGTCTAAAGTTGCTCCAATTAAGGGTACAACCATTCCCAGACTTGAATTATGTGCAGCTTTACTAGCAGCAAGGTTATGCAAAGCTGTCACGGATTCACTCAGATGTACAATTAATTATCAGGTACACTGGTGCGATTCCTCAGTTGTACTAGGCTGGCTTCGAGCTAGTCCTCAAAATCTTAAGATATTTGTCGCAAATAGGGTTTGTGAAATATCGGAATTAACAGACTTGTCATCATGGCGCTATGTACCTACGTCTGTTAATCCCGCTGACCTTATATCAAGGGGAATACGCCCCGATCAGATTGCTAGTACTAAGTTATGGTGGTCAGGCCCGTCATTTCTCATGGAGCCCGAAGATACATGGCCTATCTTAAAAACTAATATTAATATAATCAAGCTACCTGATACCAAACCTGATTCTGCTATTACTTGCAATATTTCAACGAAAACAAATCATGTAATTTTGTTTCAAAATTACTCTAGTTTAATTAAACTTAAACGATCTTTTGCTTACGGTTTAAGATTCATAAATAACTTAAAAAATAAAAATAAACGAAATTCAGGCAATTTAACCGTTGAGGAATTAACTAATTCGTTTCGTCATTTATGTCGGCTATCACAGCAAGAATCATTTTTAGACGAATATAATTTGTTATGTAATAAAAAACCCTTAAGTCTTAAATCAAATATTTTATCACTGACCCCTTTTTTAGATGAGCATAACATCATCCGTGTTGGTGGTCGTTTGGATTTATCGGATTTAAATTATGAGAGAAAACATCCAATTTTACTGCATGCTTCTCACCATTTAACTAGATTGATATTTGAATACGAACACAAACGCGGGTTGCATGCTGGACCACAACTATTACTGGCTACTGTCAGAGAATATATTTGGCCTGTAAACGGCAGACATTTAGCAAGACGCACCTTCCGTAATTGCTGCACATGTAGACGTCTACAGGGTAAAACGATTGCCCCTATAATGGGAAATCTACCCTCGCAGCGCGTCATACCCAATTTTCCATTTCAAACCGTGGGAATGGACTTCGCTGGTCCGTTTCTTATTTCAAATAAACGAGGTCGTGGTGCCACTGTAAGTAAATGCTATCTTTGTTTTTTTATTTGTTTAAGATATAAAATATCACACCTCGAAGCGGTTAGTGATTTGTCAAAGGACGCTTTCCTTATGACTTTCCGTAGATTTGTGTCACGAAGAGGTAGGCCAACGGAAGTATTTTGCGACAATGGTCGGAACTTTGTGGCAGGGGCGAAGGAAATTAATGTCAATTTTAAAATTAACCTAAATCACCTATCTGATTTTGCATGTTCGGAAGGTATAAAATTCAATTTTTCTCCAACTTACGCTCCTCACTTTGGCGGCATTTTTGAGGCTGGAGTACGTTCAGCAAAATTTCATATTAGGCGTGTAATGGGAAACTCTCATTTAACTTTTGAAGAGATTTCAACTCTTTTCGCACAGGTAGAGGCTGTTTTGAATAGTAGACCTCTCTGTCCTTTATCCATCTCTCCTGACGATCTCCACTGCCTCACCCCAGGGCATTTTCTCATTGGTCGTGCTCTCAACGCACTACCATCACCTGACCTGCAAGACTGTAACTCTAACAACTTACAGCGATACGCAAGACTACAGCAAATACTGCAACATTTTTGGCTCCGATGGCAGCGCGAATACATTGTGGAGTTGCAACACCGCCGCAAGTGGAAAACCAACAAGGCAACTACGAAAATTGGGGACATGGTGTTCCTACAAGAAGATGATGTTCCCCCCTTATGCTGGAGACTAGGAAGAGTTACAAAACTGTTCCCTGGACCGGATGGCGTATCTCGCGTCGCGGACATCAATACCATTAGAGGAACCGTGCGAAGACCCCTGGTTCGCATCTGTCCAATGCCAACGGAAGAAGAGCTGATGGCGAGTTGAAACATTCAAGTTTCAACGGGGGGAGGATGTTAACGCCGTATACGCCGATAGTTTGTCTATGATATTCTTATCATTCGTATCGCATCACTATGCATTGTAACTACCTCACAACTTTGCTTTTTCTTTCCGACATCCGACGAGCGAGCATTGCGATACACAAAATTGTAAAAACCCAGTTTATCTTGGACATTAAAGCCCTGTACAAATCTTGGGAGCATTTTTCTTTACTACGTTGAAGCCCCAACACCTGTTTTTTTGACAAGTAAACCCGAATAACCTTCAAGTTTGTAAAGTTGCGAAAGCCTATTGATTCCCTCAAAGCAGTCCAGATAAAAAATCCAATTTTAATTGACGTGATCTACATATTAGATGGAAATTTGACAGGAAGGCACTCTGCAGAATTTCGAGCCTCTCTGGTACAAAAAGCTTCCGGTCAATTTTTGTCTTCATTAGTCAAATACTTTTTCTAATTATGTAATTAGTCAGTAAATGACTCAGTGCGTGAGCAAGAAGTGCGTATTGTACGTATTCTTTTCAGATTATAAATAATTAAGATAACAGAATAATGGTCCTTAAAATCTTTTAGTAATCTATACTAATAATATAATAGAGATAAACTTTGTGAGTTTGCATGTTCGAGGTGATCTCAGGCAATACTGGTTCGAATTAAAAATTCTTTTACTGTTTTATAGCCTTGTTATCGATGAAGGATATAGGCTATATAACATCATTAATGAAAAATGTCGCGAAAACTTGGAAAATTTATTCTTTTAGAAAGAATCAGATAAAGTTGCGCGGGTTAGCTAGTTGTTAAATATACCTACTAGTGCAAGTATTTCAAAATTAAAACATTGTCTCATCGCTTTATCAGAGTAATTAATTAATATCATAAAATAAGCCATTTTTAAGAATATAAAAGGGGTAAATATGAATAACATACAAACTGTAAAACTAGAAGAATGGTCAAAATAAAAAAAAAAAACATATAATAGAGAGAAATCGAATTTACGTGTTTAAATGAAGTTATATTAAAACTAACACTTACAATATTGTGTCTAAATTTATATCTCGGATTTTTAAGTTATTTTGACAGAAAAACGATAGAAAAGGCCATATTTGTCAAAAGTGCCCCTAGAAGTTAATCAACGCTTCAACCTGCAACAAAATTTTCGCACGCACAATAAAGTTGTTGATATTTGTGTGGTTCATAACCAACCAATTTGTATAAGGCGCGGGACTGAATTTGCATTTGTTTCAATTGCCTCTCCTGTATCCACGGAAAATAGAACGAGTGTAAGTTGCTGTTCTTCGCAAATGGTATTTTTTTAATATAATTTCCTTTTTGACTGACTTTACAGAAAAGGAGAAGGTTTACGATTGAGTACGTTTTGAGAAAATATAATAACTGTCTTGAAAGACGTTCGTCAGTACTTTCTATGTTATAAGTTTTAATAAAATTCAAGGATTTAATTGTGACAGCAGACGTTTTATCATTTGTTAAGTTTATTCTTATTTTTTATTAAAATCAAAGTTTTGCATATGAAGACAACAATTTTTTTAAGCCTGTTGAAAGGAATTTTATAATACTGCTAACCTCTCGATGGTGATGCAACGATGTAAGATCCGCATCTCTCCACGCCGGAACTCCTGATGTATCAGCTCTCCTCCACTGCAATCTCACAAGACGAGCGCTGCATCGTACAGCACGTCTCGCGTCTAAAGCTAAAGCACTACTGTTGCTCCATACAGCGGCTTCAGCGCCTTCGTCCAGACGGTCTTCCCCTCCGCCTTCCCAAACTAACACTGATAAACCAACAATATTGTTAAAAACCATTTTATTACAGTATATTACTGATAAAAGATATACTGAAATCTGTACAGTGTCGTGTCATAAGACAAAATATAAGCTGAGATGAGATAGACTTATATATTGGCTTGATTGATAGTGTTCGGTATTTGAAATGGCACACCGAAGCACTTTGTGAAATTAAGAGCTCTATCTGTTACAAGAATCTTGACTTGAGATTGTTAAAATTGACATGAGAGGTGACAGTGACATACGTCGAAAGCGATCATTTTATTGACATTGAGACAAGAAAAAGAAATAATATTTTGAGATAGTTTTACTTTATTTAAAAAAAAAAACAAAAAGTATATATATTTAGTAATCAATGAATTTCTTTAATGTAATCTGTAAATGGGAAATTTATATTCTTAAATATAAATATTAATTTTATATTCTTTGAGTGTAGTTACGTAACATTGTTTTACAGGAGTATTAAAAGGAATTTCATTAGGTAATGGTACAAGAACACAAAAGCAGGATTAAAACGGGACTGCAATGTAGAAAAGTTAACGTCACTTGTCTTTTGCTGAGCATTCTTAATCGTTAAGCTATATTTATAGCAAATGTAATCAAACATGTTTTCAAAACAAACACAATATATATACTTATCTACTGAAATATTTCGAAACTAACAAAAAAAAAAATATTTTATATTGTTTAATTGTTGTCGATGCAACAATTAAACAATATAATAATAGATCAATGATATTTAGTTATAATATTTGTTGCTATTATAGTTTAAAGATTATATCAATGAATTCTAATCAATAACATCGCAATGTAAAGCATCTGAGCTACTTCAATTTACATATAACTTAAAATGAAATTCCTGCCCATTTTTCATTCATTTTAATCAAAGCCAATTAGTTTGCACGATATCGTTGGCTGTGAATGCCAGCGTCTGCTATACATTTAAATGTTGAAATGCTGTGTACGGTTTGACTTTTTATTCACATGGACGTGAAATAAATTAAATATAAATACATTCCCTCCTTTGACCGAGCATGAAATGGGTGTGCCCAGAATGAATGTTATATTTCGCTCTTGACAGTAGCCGTTGTATTAATAATACACTTAAAACCAGTTCAGTTCAGTAAATAAAAAGATAAAAACTCAACTGGAGGCAAGACAAGAAGAAACATTTTACACAAGTCACTAAAGTTTAATACTCGTACATCTTGGGTACAATAAAGATGTGATGCCATTACAATACAAACTCCGGGTTGTTATTATAATTTTGAGAACAAAACACCCATGGAATGAATAGGGGTGGTAGCACTCCGTCTTCTTGATCCATCACTACACAAGTTTTCAATTCGTGATACTTAAGAGACGCAGACGCAGACGCTAGTATCAATATTAAAAGAAATAAAAATTTACAAGACAGCTCTAGAGAAATAATCAAGAGTTTCCAATAGAAGATCATTAGGGCAGAAAAAGAAAATTACTAGCAAGTTCTTAATTCTAAACTTAATAAATAAAAACTAACCTGGTGGCTTCGTTTTTACCAGCAACGGTGCAGATGGTGGAGAGGGTCCAGCTCTTGAATGGGCCACAGCTCGCACAGAGTAAGTGGCCCCGCAGGATAGTGCCCTAAGGATGACGCTAGCGGCTTCTCCACCAGTCTCTAGTCTTCGTTCCTCTTCAGTACGACTGACTGGATCTAAACCATCGCCCGTGTCATCCCGGATGCGGACCCACCAAATAGTGAACCCTTTGGGTAGTAGAAAACATGTCACAATAGTAATTGTTATAATTATCAACAAATAATAATAATCTCTCTTGTACCATAATATCGGTTTAATATTAACTATTTAAATTTATATATAAATAACAGTAAATTGTAGGTCAACTACCTACAAACAACTATTTTTTAATAACTTTATTTATAAAATAATTACCGGTATTAAATGAAAACATCGGAAAGATAAAAAAAATTTAGCCATAAATTACTACTAAATTGTTCACTAGTCAACAATTATTTCTAATTAATTGAAAATTGTATACTTTTGCGGTTTTGGTAGACATTTTTTTATTTAACATTGCAAATATTTTCAGCCCTACGCTATTACAAGCTTGAAAATTCTAGTTCATAAAATTATCAGTTTCACTTCACACTGCCTACAGCGTATAAATTAATTAAAGCAACTGGTTTATGTAAATAAAAAGATTTAATATAACTTCTATCTCACTCACACTAGCTGGTTAGAGAGTGATTTGAATATCATGAAATAAAATATTGAAGGGAGTTAATTTGAACCAATGAGATTATTTTAAAATCCTCTCGACTGCAATCGTTACACAATTGGAATCAATTCGGCGAATACGTTTGGAACTTTTTGATAATAATAAATATAATAATAATAATAATAATAACCCCCCCGGGGATCACCTTGCCGTGGTGGGGGGGCTTACGGGTATCGGGTACTGGTTATGATCTTAACAACTCATCATTGTGTTGGGTCTCTGCTTCTGAAGTGGCCGGAGACCTGATACTAGCACCTATCCAACTAACGATCCCAAACCCATTCAATGGAGCACCTTATGGAAACTGAGAAGAAGAAGTATAATTTACGGTCGCTTCCCGGGGAGCGCCGGGGCGCATCTGGAGCCGATGCTGGGTGCCACAGCATGCGAACCATCGGTGGTGGGACGTTGAGCAGGCGGACTCTCACCAAACAATCTACTACAGCCGGTCGAGGTGAGCTGAGCAGGCGGGCTCATCGCGTAGAAGCTACAGCCGCTCGTAATGAGTTGAACTGGCGGACTCATGACGTTGAGGTCACAGCCGATTCTTCAGGCGATGATACAAAAACATTATCTTCTTCCATCCCTCAAACTTGCCTTCCATACATGACAAGAAGAACAGCAAGATTATCAAGCACTAGCACCAATAACGCGTATGCTATGCAACGCCGATCAACCGAGCGATTACCTTCACCCTCACTTAGTACCACACAGTCAGAACATTCACTCTTCTCTAATATACCATCACCGTCTTCAACCCATAGCTTATTTCGATCACCCACCTCATCACTATCATCTACTTGTACATATGCATCCCGAACTACAAGGTCAACGGCTGCTGTGCAGGAGGCATTAGCCACTAACCCTGTACCCACTGCTGGCCCTTCTCGTACGCGAAAGAAATGGACTGAAGATATGAACCGTTTTATATGGCGTACATACCTTTTAATAACAAACTGCGAGACTTCACAAATGAACAACTATTTAGAAGCTTTGCATCGAGAATTTGACAATAGATATCCCGACATGCATGCCACTCGACAACGATTAGGAGACAAAAAAGAGCCATAATTAGAAGAAAATTACTGTCACAACCTGTGTTAGACGAGATAGTTTTTGAAGTAAAAGAGCAAATAGGAGATAAAACCCTTAACCATTCACAGACATACATAGTCACGACGATCACACAACACGCAATAGAGCAAATGTTTTCAACAACAGTAGAATGAAATGGACGGAAGAAATGAACGATGATGTTATAAGATGCTACCTTGAAGCAACAGAACTGGAGACAAATAAGACTGCCTACCGTAAAAAACTTTATGATTTGTTTTTAGAAAAACATCCGAATTTATCTAATTTAACTGAACAGAGAATAGTAGATCAAAGAAGACTAATATTCATTAATAAAACATACACTAACAGAATAAATAAATTAAAGCATGAAGTACAGTTAAAGCTAACAGATCAAAATAACCAAATTTTACCTAACCTAAACGATTCTATTACTGAACAAACACACAACACACACAAAAGCCTAATAGACTGTACACTAACACTGACTGAAACAACCACAACAACTAATGCACAGAATGAAAACATCACGATTCATAACACTAATAGTAATAGTAGTTTAGATAGTAATAGGATAGAAATAGAATTTAATAAAGCTCTTACACGTTTCAATATAATTGATCCAGAAGCAAGACCATATATTCCAAACCAAAAGACGTCACGAAAATTTGCTAAAATTACTCAATTTCTAAATATCAATATTTTACCGAAACACTTAAACCACGAATTAGACTTTAGTTCATTACACACCTTAATATATTCAGCAGCCTATACAGCTGCTATTTGTAACGGCACTAAATTCAGCACTGAAGATAGTATAATCACTTATAAACGGAATAGGACGCCTGCGTGGCAAAGAAGAATTGAAAGCAGAATAGAAAAATATAGATTAGAAATAGGAAGATTAACACAATACATGTCAGGAAATAGAAGTCAGAGAATACTAAAAACTGTAGAGGAAATAAATAATAAATATAAAACTCATTCACAACACGAAGAACCTAACACAGAACCACAACATTTTCTTGACACACTAAAACAGAAATTAAACGCGACCGCAAATAGACTTAAAAGATATTTAAATTGTACTAAACGGAAACAGCAAAATGGAAACTTCATAAATAATGAAAAACAGTTTTATAGAACCCTAGGACATAATAATCAAATAACATCAAAAACTACAGAAATCCCCTCACCACAAAACCTTCATCAATTCTGGGCTGGCATTTGGGAAAACCCAGTGCAACACAACACTCATGCCGACTGGTTACAAAAAATAGCAGACACATCCAACATTAACCAAATGGAGTTTGAAAACATCCCAGTTGACACATTCATTCAGATCATCAATCGCACACATAACTGGAAGGCACCAGGCACCGACAATATACACAATTACTGGTATAAAAAATTAACCTGCACACACCCATTCGTCCACAGTCACATTTGCAAATTCATTCAATCACCGCACACTTTGCCAACATTCATAACACAAGGAATCACATACATGCTACCAAAAGGTTCAGACTCCAAAAATCCTGCAAATTACAGACCTATCACATGCTTGCAAACTATATATAAAATTATTACAAGTTGCATTAGCGAAATTATTTACAGACACTTAAATGAATACAACGTGCTGGCAGAACAACAAAAGGGGTGTAAAAAAAATAGCCAAGGTTGTAAAGAACAATTAATCATAGACTCAATAGTAATGAGACAAGCCCAAACTAAAAATAGGAACATCCATATGATGTACGTCGATTACAAGAAAGCATTTGATTCTGTCCCCCATAGTTGGTTATTATATGTATTGGACCATTATGAAATTCACCCTAGTCTCATAACATTCTTAAGCACAGGCATGCTTCATTGGAAAACTAAATTAAAATTAATAAATAACGAGTTAACCACTGACTTGATAAAAATTAAAAGAGGCATATTTCAAGGAGATGCGCTTAGCCCGCTTTGGTTTTGTATGGCACTCAACCCCTTATCTGAACTGCTAGATAGTACAAATATAGGATTTAAATTAAGATGCAATAACTTATTCCACATACTCTCACACTTACTTTACATGGACGATATTAAAATGTATGCAACTAATAACACTGAACTTAATAAACTAACTGACATCACACAATCATTCTCGACAGATATTCATATGCAATTCGGGGTAGACAAATGTAAAACTCACTCAATCAATCGCGGTAAGACAGAATACAATTTTTATACACTTGATACAGGTGAACAAATAGAACCAATGGATGAACTTACGACGTATAAATATTTAGGATTCCGCCAGTCTAGACAGATTCAGCAAAAACAGACAAAATTAGAGTTAACACAGAAATTCAAAGCCAGAATAAGTCAGATTTTGAGAACCCAATTAAACTCACGCAATACTATCAAAGCCATCAACACGTATGCAATACCAGTTCTTATTTATTCGTTTGGGATTTTAGCCTGGTCCCAGAGCGATCTCATTAAATTACAGCGCACAATCAACACACACATGACAACCAATAGGAAACATCACCCCAGATCGTGCACACAACGTCTTACATTACCACGGCAAGATGGAGGAAGAGGTCTCATCGACATACAGAATCTACACAACAATCTTATAGATAAGTTACGCAAATATTTCTACGCCCAAGCCGGACAATCCCATCTTCATAAATTCTTAACCGATATAGACAAAAAATTAACTCCGCTCAACTTAAACGACACAAACATTCAACCAAAATTATTGAGCAAACAGCAGAAAATAGACTTATGGGCCCAAAAGTCTCTACACGGCAGACATCTCGCCGATCTCAGCCAAACACACGTCGATAGAAAAGCGTCGAACGAGTGGCTGCGGCGCGGAGAACTCTTCCCAGAAACCGAGGCTTTTGTGATCGCTATTCAGGATCAGGTTATCGATACTCTTAACTATTAAAAACACATAATCCGTACCCCTAACCTTCCTACCGACTTATGTAGACGATGCCATAGCAGTTCCGAAACCATCCAACACATCACTGGTTCTTGTAAATCTATTGTACAAACTGATTATAAACACAGACATGACCAAGTTGCAGCAATAATCCATCAAAATCTAGCTCACAAATACTCATTTATTTCAAATAAAACTGCTTATTATAAATATAAACCCAGTACAGTTCTAGAAAATAATGCATTTAAAATATATTGGGATAGGACAATAATTACCGACAAAACCATACATTATAATAGACCGGATATAACAATACTAGACAAAACTAACAAAATAGTTTTTATTATAGACATAGCAGTATGTAACACACACAATCTCCTCACGACGCACACAGAAAAGATGACTAAATACATAGACTTAGCAACGGAAATAAAAAGGCAATGGCAGGTAGGTAGAGTTAAAATAGTACCCATTGTCATATCTACAACTGGCGTAGTACCGAAGACTCTTCAAGATAGCCTCAACACATTGGAAATGCCGAAATCCTCTCTCATACTCTTACAAAAAGCAGTCCTTCTTAACACATGCCGTCTCACACGCAAATTTCTCGCTTCATCCTCATCATCTTAACTTCATATCATCATCCCTTTTTGGCACACTTGGCTAAGGCCCGTGTGTTAGATTTTGTTACCCCTTTTAAATAAAAGGGAGACCAGACAAGGTATAAAATGACATAATAATAATAATATATTCTACCACATAGACACAACGCCATCTAGTCCCAAACTAAGCAGAGCTTGTACTATGGGTACTAGACAACTGATATAAATACATATATACTTTTTTTTTGTAAATACATACTTATTATACATAGAAACACCCAGACCAAATCAAACATTAAATGTTCATGCACACAAATGTTTGACTTGAGCGGGAATCGAACCCGCGACCTTTGGAATAGCAGTCCGTTACACAAACCACTACGCCATTCGGTCGTCAAAAAATAAATAAAAATAAATAAATAAATAAATGGTTTTATCTCTTAATACTTTCGAATGTTGTTATTAAAATTTTATTTACCGATGTCTTAGTTAGTTAGGTATCTCGAGTGTCAGAAAAATCATAGATAACCAACTTTAAAAAAAGTACGAGTATGTAACTTCAATCCGTCTGAAATACATCAAGTTGTAATAAGCAATGTGCTTATAAACTTATTAAAAATACAATATATTATATATGCAATAGATAGATGTCCGTGTGGTGACGGATTAAGAATACGGATTGTCACCACCCCCAATCATCCCGTGGGTGTCGTAAGAGCCGACTAAGGGAGCAAACTACGCAGGACAACAATACTGCAAAGAGAAGGAAAACTTGACACAAACCCTATGCCAACCCGTCTGGCCAGCGTGGTATAGTAGGCCAAACCCTCCTTTCTAAGGAGAGGCCCATGTCCAGCAGTGGACTGTTAAGGGCTGTTGATGATGATGATGAATAGATAGATTATAATGAAAAGACGGAAAAGTACTAATCTGACTCACGCACCCATGGTTAAGCACAAACCTCAAAACTTGCATGTAAATACATAGATCATCCATCTCAGGAATCTATTCTCGAGTACGGCAGAATGGCATGCGTAGATTACTTAGCAAAAATACAAGTTTATAATCCGAATGCTAAAATTTAAGGAAACTTTTGAAGTACGTTGACTTAGAAACTTCATTATTTTATGGACGGTTTTAAAGGGACTGTAGACATAAGCATTTATAATCATTTTAACTTGATGCCTTCCCAACGACAACGTGATTTCCCTTAGATCCATCCACGCGGTCCTGATATACAAAGTGATCCTAAAGCGGTTAATTTTATCTTTTAGAGGCATGGAAAGAAAATACTATAAACAAAAATTGAACTTCACACTTGAGATATTTATCTTTTATTTCGTAATTTATTTATATCTAACATATATGTATTTAGCAATATATTTGTGTTTATCAGTAGTCTGGATTTCAAAGTACAGTCGCTGTTTGGTGATCAGGCGGCCGTGTATGAGATACTTGTAGAAATATTATTATTATTTATTCAATTGCTTTTTTATGAATTTGAAAAGTGCTAGAGTCGTGTAAAACAACATACCATGCGGTGGCGCTGCTGGATGATGTGTAGTCCGCCAAGTGAGTCGTGCGTCAGTATGCGCCACGTGATCTAAATTGAGGGATGGAGCGGCTGGCGGTGATGCACATTCTACACGATAAGTCACTTCTTCTGAACCAAATGTGTTACGTGCTGAACATGTGTAATTTCCGCTTGTTGAGGCATCCACTTCTAATTTGAAAACAATAATTTGGTTTACTATATCAAAATTGTATGATGTAGAATTAATGTATTTTACAATTGAATAATAGTAACATATTAGTAATAAAATATTATTTAAGTATAATCGCAGATAAATCTTTTATCTACGTTCTGAATTTTCAAATGAAAATTATGATTAATAGCTCATAGCATGGTGTTTGCAATAATAACATCAAGAGAAATACGTCTACGCCATTTAGATCTTAAGTATGGGACCAGAATACATGATATACTTTACGGATAGACAGGATAGATTCTTAAAGATATATTAGAACTTACTTTTTATATTACTGACATTCTTAATTTCATATATCCTCATATATACTTGTATGAGGATATATGCAATTTAATTTTTAAATTACCTTTTTAATGACCGATGTATTACAAAAAATCATTTTTGTATGGATACAAACACCACAAACTAAAATATAAGACACAATTAAGTACATACCATGAATAGCCAGATGTCCAAGATTTGTCAGATGTATCCGTGGATCATGCGTCACTGGACGATCTCCACGTAACCAACGGGTTCTTGGAGCTGGTTCACCGCGCCATGCGCATGCCAGCCGAAGAGAATGTCCGCACTGCACTCGCGCCCAAACACCAAACGACAGTAATCTTGCCCGGGCTTTTAGACCAAAGGATGGAATTTTTACTGACTTCTAGGGACCATCTCAAAGCAATTATTATAAAGAAATTAGTTGTAATATTGCCAGGATTTTACCCTATATCCACCCTCAAGAGTCAACGAAAACTTACTAGAGATTCATGTCAATGCATAAATATACTAAAAGAAACAAAGGTCTGCGAGCCAAAAAAAATACAGAAAAAAATATATATATATACCTCTTGAACTAGTTGAAGCAGGCTGTGGTGCAGAAGGTTCTCCTTCTCCAGTCACTGAATGTGCTGCTACCCAGGCTTCATAAGTAGCACCTTCTGATAAGGATTTAAGCTCTGTAGATCCTCCTAAGCCTACAAAGTGGTCACCATCTTCTACTTGGACAGTTGTCGTTTGAGGTGGCCTATCCCTACAAAAGTAATGTAATTTGTATGTTATTTACATCACACAATGTTCTTTGAAATACAAACTTCATGATATTTCTTGATGTATGTGAAGACGATCATATTAAACTATGTACTTCTGAAAAATTCTAACGCTAATCTCTAAGACGAGATTACTTTCTGATTTATTTGAAAGCACCAAATATACATATTCATAGATGTTCCGTTGTAAATTGCCACTCACTAGTAACGATTTGCTACATTCATTTATCTGAATCGAAAACGTCGCTAAATATTAAAATATACTAAGTTGATTTCGTAAATCTTAATTGTAGCGATTTACCGTACACGCGTATTTTACACCTACCAGAGTTTAGTCAAAAAACAAGAAAGCCAGATGCTGTTCTTAAATTACTTGGTTAGTTCTAAAAATATAGTTTTCTATGTACAAGGTAAACTTGAAGTCCAAGCATCAAAGTGACGAATACTCTTTTAACAAAAATAGCATTGGGTAATTCGATTAGTGCTGTTAACGAATACCAGTGTACTTTGACATACACCGCGCTTAATTATTATTATAAAGTGATTCTTATTGGTTTTAATTAAGTAAATAATGTATGTATACTTAGGATATTAGGCTATCTATAAAAAAAGTGACTTTATTGTTACCTTCCAAGTTCCCGATAAAAAACCGTGTAATAAAGAATAGGTCCATTAGGTCGACTTGGTGGCAGCCAACTAACTGCTAAAGATGTTACCGATGTTGCTACTACTTTGACAGCTGCAGGTGATCCAGGTACTGTATAAAAATAATTGATCGGCTCATATTTCAAACTAATCGAAATCGTTAGCAAATAAATCAAAGTTATAAAATTACCATCTTGTTGTGTAGTACAATGTATAGGCTCAGCTGGAACTCCATCCCCCGCTGTTGTGTAAGCCAAGGCCTGAACGGTGTAGTTTGTATGTGGTCGTAGAGCTAGTAAAAGCGTTTCTACACCTGCAACCCGCTTCACTTCAGCACCCGCTCCCGCTCCTACATTGGAGCCAGAGTTACCCCGAACCTCCCACTCCAACCACTCAGTCGCTGCCGACAAACAACTGCCATCACTCAGCTTGGATTTAAAATAAAATCCAGTTATCGGGCACTACAAACTTCATTTAAAATCCAATCAATAAAGTCAATATTTACTCACTATGTTCTGGGCGATAAAGTAATTTATAGCCTAGCAGAGCGCCATGGTGAGCGTGGGCTGGAGGCGGTGACCATTCTACTTTAAGGCTTTGCGGTGAAACAGCGCGGCACCTTACAGACCGAGGGCCTTCCGATGGCACTATTTACAAATAGCGTTGTTAGATTAGATTCATTAGATGAATAACCAGTTAACAGCAAAAAAATAAGTAAAATTCCTCAAAATTTGAAAATGTGTTGTATATTTTTTTTATTTCTCAAAACTTTTTTCATTATTTTGATATTCTCAAACTTATTTTTAAAATAGAACAATCTATTTAGCGTTATTAGTGATAAAATTATTTTTAAACATAGAAATAAAACGGCTATAAAGGCTAGAATTTAATCCTAAAACTTATTTAAAACATTAAAATGAACTTGCCGCTCTCTTGTGTAAGAGTGTTAACAGGAGAAGTTGCAGGTCCTGCCCCAGCGCTGTTGAAGGCTCTAACGCTGACTGAGTATCTGCGAAGATATTCCCTTAAATATACAGTGAATAGAGATGTTTTTTCAATCACTGATTTTTATTCTCACCGGGTATAATGTTCCAGACCTTCAATTATGTACTTTGTTATTTGTCCTCTGACTGTTGCAAATTCCATTCCAACATTTGCACCTCCCGCCAAAGATCCATCTGCTGACGGCCACCACCAAACTGTATATCCTAATAGTTCACCATTCCACGACGATGAAGGAGGGGCCTTTTAATTTAGTAAAGAATAAAGGATCAAGGAAATGACTGAGAATGTATAAATCAATTTATTTAAGCCTTTGTATACCTGCCAACTTAGTTCAATAGTAGAAGATCTTGGAGCAGACGCACGAAGACTAATGGGCGCTCTCGAAGGCGGCTCATGCAAAGTTAAAGCCAGTAAGGCCCTTGTGTGTGCGGATGCAAATTGGGCAGTTACTGTTCGAGCCCTTACTAAATATGCTGTGGCCGGTTCCAAGCCTGTTATTGTTGCACTTTCTGTCCTATATTAAAGTAAAAATGTACTCAAAATTCTTACAGTAGGTTTTTAGCTTAAATATGTGAGTCATAACTAACTTACTCTGAATAAGAATCCATAGTATGAGCTGATACAGAAACGTTATGAGTGTCGGCATCGCGCCAGGAGTCTGTATTAGTGGAATCATGTTTACGGTATTGGACTACATAGCCTAATACTGGCGAATTACCGTCATATGGTCTTCTCCATTGTAAGCGAACTGATCGAGAAGAAGTATCCAGGACTCTGAAATTGGCTGGCGGTTCAGGTGGCTCTAAAAATAAGGATAAGTTTAGACATGAGAAAATCTTTTTACTAATACCATTAAAATACAGAATTATTTACCTTGAACAGCTAAGTGTACAAAATGATCTGAACGACCATAAGGATTTGATGCTTGACAACGATAGACACCGGAATCTCTTCTATCAGCTCTTTCTACTACTAATTCACTTCTTAAGCCCTCTGCACTTCTTGTTTCTGATATGCTCATTCTAGAAGTAGTGTATCACATTATTATCAAGATCCATTAATCTAACTTTAAAGAGACAATTTTTTTAACTACCTATAATCAGAGTTAGGCAAGGCTCGTCCAGAATGACTCCAAGCTGTGGAAAGAGGGCTATCACCGCGAGCAACACATGCCAATCTCACAGTTTCTCCTAGTTTTGCTGTCACATTTGCAGATTGCATTTCAAATCGGGCAGGTTCTAAAAAAATAAGTTATTTAAACAACTATTATTTTAACAAAATGATTAATTTGTAGCCTTAAACAAATTTAAAAACTTACCATTTACATGTATGATAAGAGTTTTAGACAAAGCTGGTGAAACACCGTTATCGGCTCTACATCGATATTTGCCAGAATGTTCTGCCCGTGCCGATTCTAATCTCAAAGATCCATTTGTAAGTACTACTGGATCTGATACACCTCCTAAAGTTGTTTCTGTGCTACCTTTAAAATAATCAACCATTAAAACATAATGTTAGTATTTCAAGAAATATGTAGTAGTAAGTGAAAGCAATTTTACTGCATTTTTCCTACCAGCGAATTTTGTCCAATATATTGAAGGAGGAGGATGACCTTTGGCTTCACAACTAACTGTTAGCGATCCGTTGAGTAAAACTGCAGTATCTGTGGGCTCAATTTGCCAAAATGGTGGAACTGCAAACAAAAACCCTTAAGTAGGTATCTATTTTGTGAATTTAGTAAACATAAATTTAATTGGGCTATAATTTACCTTTAATTGCCAGTTCTGCTGACATATTAGCTTTGCCAGCAGTGTTAGTGACAACGCACGTATAAATGCCACTATGAGCTGCAGTTAGGCTTTTAAATAGAAGCATACTGTAAAATTCTGCTCCACGCTCATCGACCTGTAAATTTATGAAAGCTAAAAAAATGTTCTTGAGATTTTGGTTACAAATTAACTGTACAAAATATACCTGAAGAGCACTTGATATAGGCATTTGATCCTTAAGCCAGGAGAAGTAAACTGGCATATCTCCGGACGTAACAGTACATGTCAGCTGCGAGCGGTCACCAGCCCTCAGTCCAGGTGGAAACACAATAGGCGATAAAACTGGTGGAGAAACTACTGTCATTTGAACCTGTAATAGTAGGAATCCATTTAGGTGTCTATCTTACCTTTGCTTGAAGTATTGAAGAAAGGAAATATTTTTCTTTATGGTACTCGTTTGTGTTTCTCCAATGTATGTAATACAGTGGAGAAACACAATCGCACCCTCAGTTATATAAGGAGTCAAGTCAAAATTTTAGTGAAGTGTGATTTTAAATGCCAAGAGCACAAAATGACATTATCTACCGGCTAGTACTGACAGAGAAAGAAAAAGGAAAATAATGACTCGGTAAATATATTTGTGCCTCTCCCCGCTAGTCTCCCGTTTTTAGTGCTACAAAGTCACAAGCAGTAACGTGTCCATATTTACAGAAATCAAACCGACAAAACTTTATTTCATTCGTGTTTGTGCAAAAAAAAACCAGGTGAGTTTTGTTTTACACTTTTTGAATTATATGGAACAATTTGTAGTTGCGCCTTTATATATTATACAAAATTTAGTGAATTTAACTTGAAAGTGCTTTTTCAATCACTTGTAATTTGTGGAAGTTATTTTTTTTCATGGCAATTTATAGTTTAATCATCGAAGAATAAATCTGCAAAATTTCACATTTATAACTTAAATTATAAGAATTTCATTCGAAAAATAAGCAGGAACGTAAGAACTAGAATTTAAACACGATTTCCCAAAAAAATCTTTTTTGTATTATGCTTTTATATTACTAAGGATGCGATATGTGTACCTCAAAACCTTTAAACACAATCACTTAAACTTAGTTTTATAGGTAGTTAATTATATAATATCGGTAGGATTTTTTCTGTATATATAAAATTACATGCCCTTTCTGACTGATTTATCAACACAGAACCCTAACCGCTGGGGCTTTAAATTTGACATTTTGGCAGCTGATGCTGTTTATGTTGCAAGCACGGGTAATAGCTAATTGTTTAATAATATACTTCTGTTATAGACAATTATCAATGAGTTTATAGACGGAAGCTTAATATATTTCTTATAACGAATTATTTTTTAACTGCGAATAAAAAAAAAATGAACAAACCTCTCTCCTAGCGAGTTCTCCCCCAGGAGTTAATACAGAGCAAGTCCAACCTCCTTTGTCTCGATTTCTATCGACGTTGGTTATTGTCAATTGACCATCCATCTGCTGATACCGAGGATCTGCACCAGCTCCTCCCTCCCACTTAACGGAACTGGAACAATCATTTTAGGTTTTATTTATAATTTTATTTGGTTTTATTTTTGGAAAGCATTCAATACATATACAGGTGTGATGATAAGTTACACTTGGGTTCATCTATGGTGTTAAGTCGTCTACTGTTACGTAAATTATCCTGCTTTATTGAGAGAAAAATAAGATAAGGAAATAAAAATCTTTAAAAAAATGTATATCTCATTTAAAACAGTAACTAAACTTAATTCTGATACTGAAACAAGTATTGCGTTTCGTTTTATTCCGTTGTCAGCGATTTAACTGCAATGTATTGAATCGTTAAACTCGAACATGCTTGGATTATTTCGATTTGATTTACTTTTTTTAATTAATTTATCTTTTTTATTAAATAAATTACAAAAGTCGCCAAAATTAAAATAATGTGCATGATGTGTAAATAAATAATAAAAAAAAAACTTCCACATTAATAACAGGAAAAGATATTTTTCATTTAAACCACACATAATTAGTAAATATAGCCGATATTAAAATTTTACACGAAATTAAAAAAGAACTGCGCAGGCTTTTTGGTAGACAGAAAATAAACCCATTTTTATTCCACCCCAAGCGTAATAGCCATAAAATGGCAATAAAATAATAACATTCTTGTGTCGATATTCTGTTAGTAATCATAATAATGATGTCGTGAGTGAATGTTTACGTAATATCAGTACGTGCTCTGACTCACAACGATACGATATGGATATTGTAAAAAGCTTGTGCCGAAAGTGAAATTTCAAATATTCGTATACTCAAAAAGTTGTAATAATGTCTGCTCACTCAATTGGGAATCCGTAGTAAGGGCACCAAACAGTCACTTCAGCCCCGGCGACGGCCTTCACTGGATTCATAGCTCTGATGTAAGGCGACCCTATGTAAATCGAATAATAATGTTAGCACAGCAATCCTCGTATGCGTCCCTAATGCCAAAATAATACTTATCGCTATTTGTTTAGGACAGAAAAGCAAAACATAAAATATACATGTTGTAAACATGTGGGTCGCACATATTGTTTTTTATTAACGTTAGCAGAATATAACAGTATTTGATTGTCTTGTTCTTGACTATACAACTATATTTTATATGTCTTTTTTTTTACTTTGTTCTATAATATTCAAACATAATATTCTCTTAATTATTATTATTATTATTTCTTTATTTCATTCTTTATACATATAAATTACATTTTTAAATATATTTATATACAAAAACAAAAAAAAAATACATTTAAAAATATAAAAAATAGTATCCCATCGGTATCGGGTACAGAGACCAAGATATCGGTGGTTAGGACTCCAGAGACAGAAACTTCCTCACAATACGTGCCGTATCGAGAAGAACTGCTTTCTGCATCAGACCCTTAATCCAACTGCCTAACGCGAGCTTCTGAAGATGTTGGTCGAGGCTCTTAGCAACTAATCCATGGGCCGATATGACTATCGGTACAACGATTGCTGAATCAACATCCCATATGTCGACAATCTCGTGGGCTAAATCCAAATATTTCACTTGTTTATCTTTTTCAGCTTTCAAGAGATTGTCGTCATGTGGAATGGTAATGTCAACAATCATTGCTCGGCGCTCCAATCGGTCTATTACCACTATATCAGGTTTATTGGCAACAATAGTCCTGTCAGTGATAATAGGGCGATCCCAGTACAACGTTGCACGACCATTTTCAAGAACTGGGTCGGGCACATATTTGTAGTACGGTAACTCTACAGTCACAAGGTTATACTTAAGAGCAAGTTGCTGATGAACAATCCTGGCCACTTGGTTATGTCTATGCAAGTACTCGCCGTTGGCAAGACGAGAACAACCGGAAATTATATGTCTATGGCTTTCACCAGGACAATGACATGCCCGACAAATGTCTATTGTGCCGTCCTTCAGGATATACTTCCGCTAATTATTCGTCATAACAACTTCATCAGTAATTGCAAAGACAAAACCTTCAGTTTCCCCGAAGAGGTCACCGAATCGAAGCCAGAATACAGACGCTAGTTGATCCACCTCAGGCCTGTTCAAGGCTCGATAAAAACGTCCATGTAGCTCTTTGCCCTTCCATATCTCCTTACGATCAGTAATGTTGAGTACTGCAAATTTGCGCCAGTTCTCTTTACCTAGACCAAGCGGAGTGAGTCCGTTATCAACTGCTACTACATCCCTATGAATATCCACATTAACAGAAAGGAAGTAATTCCTAAGGTTACATATCTCACGATTGTGGAGGGTCTTGGCATTTAGAAAACCACGACCACCACATTTTCGTGGAATATATAACCTCATCACCGATGAACGTGGATGATGCATTCGGTATGCAGTAAGCAATGTACGAACTCTTCTATCCAGGGTATCTAGTTCAGTCTGAGTCCATCTAAGTATGCCAAAAAAGTAAGTTAGAACTGGTATGACCCAATCATTATAGGCTCTCACCTTATTACCACCTGATAAAAGACTATTTAATACTTTTTTCAGGCGGCTAAAGAAGCGTTCCTGTAACGATTGTTTCATAGTCAACTCATTTACACCTAACGCCTGTGACATACCCAGATATTTGTAAGTTTCGTTAGCTGAGAGACATGTAAAGTGCGTGGAATCTGAGAGTTCCAACCTATCAGACTCCACAACCCTGCCTCTTTTACATGCATGATTGCACACTTATCTACACCAAATTCCATCCTAATACATTTACTAAAGGTTTTAGTTATTTCTAGTAAATTCATCAGTATGGAACTACTGGAAGCAAACAGTTTTAAATCATCCATGTAAAGGAGGTGGGATATAACCTTACCATCTCTCTGCAAACGATAGCCTAGCCCTGAACCCTCCAACATAGTGCTGAGAGGATTTAAAGCTAAGCAAAACCACAAGGGACTTAAACTGTCACTCTGAAATATACCCCGCTTAATCATTATATATTCGCCATCGCCTTGAGATTGCCGACATCCTGGATAGCAAAGAACCGTTCTCCATTGCCGCATACACGTCTCCATAAAAGTGCATAGAGTTGTATCAATCTTGTAAAACTCCATCACCCTCAAGAGCCACGTATGCGGTACAGAGTCATAAGCCTTTTTATAATCTATCCAACATGTCGACAGATCTTTTCGGTTACGGCGAACTTGTTGGTTAATAGTCATGTCAATAATAAGGAGCTCTTTAGTGCCACGTGCCCCACCTCTACATCCGTTCTGAGAGTGAGATATAATTATTATTATATTATTATTATTATTATATTACTACTTAAACGACGCAGCGGATAGATTTGTTTGTTCTCGTATAATAATGACGCAATTCAGAAATACGTTATTAAAGTCAAATAATTTATTTTAAATATAAAATACATTTAAGGTATAAAAGTTTACAATGATTACTATTGTTAGGCTATATGCTGAAATACATTTTAATAGATGATGTCAAATACCAAGAGTTGATGTAAATTTACTCCACAAGCCCATAGGACGGAGAGTCGTTGGTTAGCATTAACACACATAAACATTAGTTGGTAACAAGTGTGGTAAAGAATAATAGAATGGAAAAGGTGTACTAAGGAATATAATATAAGGCTGTATCGTGACAACGTTTTTCATTTAATTGTTTAATCTTGACTGTACGTTACACTATCATGAAGACATATTCTTAATAGCTAAATATTTGAAGTAACTAAAGGATTCAGTAGATACAGGTAATAAATAACAATATTAAAATAGTGAATAATGCTTATGGCAATGTAACTAACAAGGATAGATTGAACCTCGTGCACATTTATACATATGTAAATACAATATACGTCGTTTATTACGTGTTTTATTTTTTCTCCTCAGATATACTCATACTACTCACCTAAAGGAAACAGATAAGTTACGTATTAATACTGTGATCCTTTCGATTAATATATTACGATCATCAATCTTCTTGTAGGATCTATTTGTAGTGGTATATAAAAATCATAAACATGAGATGCTTTCAGTTGCAAAAGCAGCTATTAGAGTTATTAAGAATACGTAACAGTTGTAACGTGTCTTATCTCTGAACAAGCAGTATATATTACATTGCCTTATATGTATATTTTATATTATTTCTTACCGTATACATTCAGGCGGGCAGCATGAGCCAGAGAGCCATGATTGTTTGTCGCCCGACACTCGTACCGACCTCCATGTTCCACCCGCGCACTACTCAATGACAGGGTAGACAGCACATAGTTACTGCTGGTACCGAGCCCTGAGGGACCGCTCTCCCGCCCCTCCGTTATTATAGCCCTGCGTATATAAACATAAACTTCTAATCTGTGCGATTTACTGTACAAAGTAGGTCTCGAAGTATACAATTGGGAGCTTTATAAATATTGACAGACGCTCGTCGTATAGAAAAATATCTTTAGCCATATTTTTTATTAACAATAGCGAAAAGGTTTGGTACTTACCCGTGATGTGACGGTATAGGCTGGCCATCTAAAGTCCATCTAAACCGCGGCGGTGGCTCGCCCACAGCGGAACATTTCAAGGCCACCTGCGCCCCCGGCTGGACAGCCTGCTCAATGAAAGTATACACCAGTTCCGGGCGAGAATCTGCACAAATTGTTCAAATAAGAGAACATCCAAGCTCACATTTATATAAAAAACAAAGCATAACATACTCACCGGGGGATCTTTTTAATCGTTTTCGTTTGAACGAACGTACAGAGCTCGGGACTGTCACTAACGAGCACCGTATACCTGAAACATATACTTCTATACACACGAGTGTAGAACAATAAGAAAAGTTTATCAGTTTTTCGTTCAGAATACTTTGATGCTGTTGATAGGTGCTATCTGTTTAAAATGAACATATACTCATATATATATTTTACTTATTAGAGTGAGCTTAATTTATGCAATGAAGTAAAGGGAACCAATATAGTATTATAATTGGATGGTTTGATTAGAGATTAATATTTTTATTCACATGGAGTCACTTCAGTGAGATAATATATAGAGTAATAGGAATTTTATGTTAGAAGTCGGAACTATCTTTATTTTACTTGTAAATCAATACTATTAAGACAGTGCTTTTGCTTCATTTTAAAGTTGTTAGAGTTTTTAACAGAGTAATTAGTATAGGGATATCCTAAAGTATTTGCCTTGAAGTACTCAACTCACCAGATATACAGATTTAGTTATAATTTAAATTTTAATTAATTAAAAATTTAAACAACTTAGTTTATAATTTAGAATACATTTTTATGACACTAAGTAGAACTATTGCAACTAGAGACCTGTTCACTCAATAGGACATTTAAATTGCTTTTTTATGATACATATTTTCTAGGTATATACTTTATATTTACCCTTCAAATTCATTCCGAAAAGGCCACAGACCAATAACATTATTATAAAATTTGGGCGTCCGCAGAAGAGCTTTTTTTCATTTGTTCCTTTTTGGTTTCAAAACGAAAAGGTAAGATGGTAAAAAGAACACCATAGCTTAGAACTGAATATCTATGAGTTCCATAATGGTTCAATATCATTCGATACCTATCTCACATACCGAATCAATAACTACAATGTGTGTGTAATGATTACTGTTACATACGATTAGGTATAATTAGCATTAGTAAGCATAATAGAGTCAGTTAAGTTCATTCGGCGAATCCCTTGTGGCTAACTTTATGTTACACGCTGCCACAGGTGCAATCATAGGAAATATCAATATGTTATGAATAGATAAACAATTCAATGATTTCAATTATCACATTCATGCATGTAAATCGTATAAATTTTCGTGTATAAATCGTGAGATATCGTGAGATATAAATCACATTTATATTGCTGAAACTTCGATATCTAATATATAAAATTCTCGTGTCACGGTGTGTGTGGTTGAACTCCTCCGAAACGGCTCGACCGATTTTCGTGAAATTTTGTGTGCATATCGGGTAGGTCTGAGAATCAGCCAACATCTATTTTTCACAAACCTAATTTTTTTTTTGACAATTTTTTTTTGAAGTATGTAATTTATATGGCTAAACAACGTTTGCCGGGTCAGCTAATAGAATATAAGTGCATAAAATATTACGATGATACGCATCTTCTTTTTAAAGATCCTGAAAGAAAGACAGTCCTGCCGAAAAATGACTAGGAGAGCCGACCCCCCTAAGTGAAGGAATAAGGCTAATCGAAGAGAGAGATCACAGTTTAATCAAACTAATCTTTTAAAAGATTTAATTTCTGTAGTAGGTAAGGAACCATCTATAGATTATTACTTAGTACAAAATTGTGCTTCGTTTCAAAATTATTTATTCATGAGTTCATTCCTGGGACCAGGCTTTCATCGCTTTAATTTTCGATTTAAAAGGCGAAAATGCTTTTTGTGGATACGTTTAGGAGACCGCAGCTAACCGACACTATCGGTGTACGGTGTGTTGAGGCTAGAGAGTGCGATCGATGGGGGAGCGGAGATAAGATTTGTTTTAGGCTTTTGGTTACTTGTTTGCATTTTGTCAATTAATGTATTGATTTCAAATTATGCTTATGATATATCTTTTAAAACTGTTGAGTATAAATACATTTTAAGTATTATAATCGTTATTTAAAAAAAAGACATTATACCTATATACAGGATTTACTGCTAACACTACATTCTAGACCGTTGCTACTACAAACAATGGTGCTTAACACACTCATAGATAATGAAGGACAATGCCTATTTTTATTGCCATTTACTCTTAAGTGTCTAGTTTTATTTGACTTTTCACTACCAAAGAGGCCTTGTCAAAGTATAAACACCACTTTTTAAAAATGTTTAAAAAAAGTAAAAATGCCCGATAATATTTTTTTAATGATACACGTGGTTAGTGGTTATAAATGGCTTCACAATAATTTATTAACTTATTAACTTTAAATACTAGCAAAACCAAATATTTATGCTACCACAAAACTGCAGCTTCTTCTCCAGCCTTAACCCCAAAAATTCCAATTCACACATGTAATTTTGATCAGACTATTTGTAATTGTAATAAAATACAAAGGTCACGAAGCATTAAATATCTTGGAGTAATTCTAGATGATAAACTCTCTTACAAAGACCACATCGTGGCAACTGCAGCTAAAGCAAGGAAACTAATTTACGTTGTAAGACAACTTAGAGATGTTGCTGATTTACATTTATTAAAAACGATATATATATCATTGTGTCAATCCATCCTGACTTACTGTTTAAATATCTGGGGAGGCTCAGCTGCAACACACTTGATTATCTTAGAAAGGGCTCAGAGATCAATTTTAAAAGTTATGTTGAATAAACCGGTGAGATTCCCAACCACTGAACTCTACAAAGAAGCCAAAGTATTGAATATAAGACGATTATACATATTTCAAGCCATCATTTCCACACATAAAAACGTGTTAAACGCCCCTGATTACTGGTAACGCCACCTGTCCATAGAGAAAGGAACTCTTTAAGTTTTAGTTTAAATTCCCGCTAGGTGAGGCTGTCGGCACCTATCAATCCCTTGATCATATATCGACATCCCGCACGCACGCCGCTAAAAGAAGACAGTTCGGTGACGTTCGAGACGCGAGACACACCGCACGTTATTTTTTTCTCTCCGCTACCGCATCTCATATAAACTTTAAAAACCAAAAGTATTGGTATAACACGCGCCGCGTTCAAGTGTCTTCGGATCACGCTACCGCATTGTCCGCTGAGTGTTAAATCGTGCCTTGCCGGCAAGCTAGTGACTTTATACCGCGCAGCGCGCCGCCATTTTGTTTTCACAAGCCACACCGAAGCCACGAGAGACCAGGCCGCCTGATCAGCCCGCCAGGTCTGGACAGCAGCTCGACCAGCATCTCAAGACCATCAAGGTAGGCGTGCTTTCCCATATCCTTTTACCCACCTGTCCGGCAGCCGTAACGTACTCAGCATATCAGTTTCAGGCAGCGCTTAGTCGCTGAAGATATCTGCGCACCCGCTCATATGTATTAGCGCCAATAAATTCTATGGCCACCGCCAGTTGGCGCTAACATACATATTTATGGTCCTTCGAGCCGGATCTCAGCTTAGAGCTATCCTTTGGGGTCCCTTTGACCCACCGCTTGTCAAGTCTAGATTCGTCTAGTACTTCCTAACCGCCCACTTATTAAGTCTAGATCCATCTAGAACTTAAACCCGCTTAACTAAGATCTATAATCCCGCCAATTTTCGCTTATCTAGCTATCGCCCGCTTAGTTATATATTCTAATTAAACCTAATTTCCTACCTAGGTAAACACTACCTACGTACCAACTTCGCATTCATTCTTCCGCGCCTTATAAGAGTTACCTACTTACTTAGATTATTTAATTTAACGTCATACAATAACTTGATTTATTAGTCAATTACGTGTAGCTTATTTGTTTATAGGTATTTATTTCGTATGCAAAGATTGTAATAAATACCTACCCACATTATATTATATATATATCGCGCCGCTCGCCCCGGTTAGTAACTGTAAAGTTGTAGGTAGTTAAATTTGTTTCGCTAGCCGCGTTTCGATCTCCCTGTGTCTTGTCGGTTCATAATAACATTTAGCGCCGACAATGCCCAGGAAAGCGGATCCTGAGTCTTTCGCGACTGAGCGAGAACAATGAGATTTATTCTCCTTGAAAGTAAACGAGATGCGCTGTTCGAGTTGTTCAAATTATTTACGACAATTCGAAAAAGGTTCATAAAAGTGTGGAATGTATGGAAGATTTCCTTAGTTCTGTAGGAACTATCGAAGATATTCGCTCTGAGTTCAGGGAAATAGTCAATGAGCACAATCGCGCTTCACTCAAAAATGATCCCGCATATAAACCTAACTATAAATGTTTAAACTCGTTCGAACAGCTGTACTGTCATATAAAACGTGTATTAAAAAGTGTTGAACCACAACCGTCCACGAAGGACACTGATCGTTATCAGGATGGTTCGACCGACCGCTTAGGCTTGAAACATAGATTGCCTTCTTTGCCGCCGATCGAGATAATGTGTTTTGACGGCGACATCCGAAGTTGGCCGCTTTTTTACGCTGGGTTCAAGTCCACCATACACGAAAATCCCACGCTGACCAACTCTGAGAGGTTGTACTATTTAATAGGGAAGCTCTCGAGTAAGGCTCAAACTGTCTTCTCAGGCATCACGCCATCTGCTGAAAATTATGACACGATATTACGATGTCTGATAGATAGGTATGAAGACAAGCGCACGCTCGGACATACCTACATAGATCAGATGTTAAATGTTAAGTTGACCGGCCCCGCTTCTTCATCCAAATTCCAGGCATTCATGGATCAGTTTGTCACTGCCGCAAACGCATTAAAAAATCTACAAATTGATAATTTAAGCGACTTCCTACTGCTTAACCTCGCTTTAAAGAAGTTGGACGAAGAAACGATCCGCGCGTTTGAGTCTCAGTACCGCGATACGAAAGTACCTACTTTCGGTCAGCTGACTGAATTTATTAAAGGACAGTACAAGATATACAATAACATACGCCCCACCGCAAGTACTTCTACTTCTCATTCTACACGAAATAAACCGCGGGTTCATGTGCCTAACCCGCATGCTTATGTAGCAGTATCTACGCCGCACAAGAAATGTCTTTGTGACAACTTCGTACATGACCACTTATTTAAATGTCTATCGTTTAATAATTTAACGCCTTCCGCACGATTTAATTGCGTTAAAGAACGTAACGCTTGCATTAAATTGCCTTAGTTTTAAAACACAAAGCACGCGATTGTCATTCGAACATGAACTGCCGCAGCTGTGGCCAGAGGCATCATACGCTGCTGCACTTCGATAACGCTCGCAGTCAGGCTTCACAGCAAACGCCTGACCACCGAATGGCTGCCTCGGGAATCGAACCCGGGACCGTAGCCGCCGCGCCCGCTCCGCGCCGCACTCAACCATCGTCGCCGCCGCGCACGCAGACGTCTATAGCGCCACAGATTAGCTCAACGCGCGATGTGAGCGTATCATCGCTGCATGCATCCATTGCCGCGCCAATACCGAACGCTTCGAATAATAAGGTTCAGAGCGCGCAATGTACGCAACCTATGACGGTACTGCTGTCGACCGCTCAGGTTGTTGTCTACGATTAAAATGGGACGCGCCATACGATTAGAGTTCTTTGGACACGGGGGTCGCAAATCAGCTTTATTTACGAGTGAATGTTGCGCGCGCTTAGGTTTGGATTGCGATAGAAATACGAGGACGATTGTTCGAGTTTTGGTGGTGCTGAAAAGCCTATTCGAGGTTCCACAGAATTTCAAATATTTTCGCGTTTCTCTAATAAAATTCATTTTGAAGTATCGCATTTTATTGTCGACCGCCCATAACGGACAACCTACCTACGGTGCCCGTTGACTTATCAGCGTTTTCTCACTTGAAGTCGCTCCCGCTCGCGGACAGTATGTTCGCCTCGCCCGCCGAGGTTCACGTTCTCCTCGGCGCGAATTATTTTCCCCCACTTGCTGCTACCAGGCGTGGTACATAGTAATGTTTGCAGGGATACCGCCCGCTATAGAAAGTGTTCTAGGATATATAATCATGGGTTCTGTGCCCGCATTATTGTCTAAACACGAAATTAAAAATACAACCGCTTGTTGTGCTGTTCTTGAACAGTCGTTGGACAGCATTCTCAAAAGGTTTTGGGAACTTGAAGAGGTCTCCGCTCCGCCCGCCCACAGTCAAGATGACCTTGAATGTGAGAATCACTTCCGTGCCACCACTACGCCGCGATGCTAGTGGTAGGTATACCGTTTTCGTTGCCGTTTAGGGACGATGTTTATAAATTAGGGGGATTCTCTCGCCGCCGCTAAAAGACGCTTCATGTGTTTGGAACGAAAATTGGAGTCATCAGCTACATTGCGCACGGCCTACAATGATATAATACGCGAGTACATTGATAAGGGCTACATTACCGAGATAGGATCTATTGATAAAATAACTCCCGCCGATTCTTATTTCGTGCCGCATTTTGTGTGCAACGATCGGATAAAACGACTACCAAGGTTCGGATGGTTCTAGATGCCAGTTGTAAAACCAGCACAGGGTTGTCACTTAACGAAGTTTTACATTCCGGCCCTAACCTACAGGGTGACTTAAATTGCATACTTTTAAATTTCCGCCTGTTTAAAATAGCTATATCCGCTGACTGTCGTCAAATGTTTTTGCAGATTGGTATGCTCAAAGCAGATCGCAAATTTCAACGGATTCTTTTTAGATTCTCGCCGCAAGACCGATTAGTAATTCTAGAATTTAATCGAGTTTGTTTCGGGATGAAGTCAAGCGTGTTTCACGCTGTACGCGTTCTACATAATAAAATTTTTACATTCTATTCATTAAATTTATTTTACTTATTATAAATTTTATAAATTTTTTCACATTTTAAAAAATTTTCGGTTGTTATAAAGATTCCCAATTTTACAAAAATTATTTGTTTAAGGTTAATAAAATAAGCTGATTTAAAT